CAGAAAAAAGGAAGTATTTCCTCAAAGATTAGATCTCCTTTTCAGATTGTAAGGGCAAGACTGACCCCTGAGCAGGTTATCTAATCCAGCAGACGGGGTAAAGGAGGAGTCAGAGCCCTCAGGGGTTTTGCAGGTCTTTTATTGGGGTTCACCAGGCATATGGCAGGCAGGGGTGCTGGGGGGCCGGGAAGCTGGCAGGCCTCCCAGCCCCCAGCAGGTCTTCACTCTGGGCTCTCCGGCGTTCTCTCGGCTTCTCTTTTGGCTTCTCCTCGGCTTCTACTGGCGTCCCCGTGACGCCGCCCTTAAAAGCACAGTCTTAGCCCAGGTGAATCCCATCTACCTATGTCCACACCCTACTCCAGGTGCCCGCCATCAGGCATGCATTCAGGACCGCAAGGATCCATCATCTATCCTGATGGCAGGAGGGCAGAAAAGCCTGACATTTTTCCTTACCCTACACAGATGAATTCAAAACTAAACAAAACAGGACATTATGCTAAGTGATTTTGTATGCGGAACACTGCTTGTTTCTGCCCAAGTCTCCATTTGCACCTGAGGCTTTACCTTGAAAATGCTGGATGTGAGGGTAGGTGTTGCAAAGAGGGAAACAGGAGTACCCCAGCCCTGGCTGGGGCCACCTCAGCCAGCAGCCTTAATATTTGAGATAGTTTGTTGAAACTGAGAGGTATATACACAAATGCATTCCTGAGATGCCAAGAAGTGATGAGTGTTTCTAGCAGCATGCAAATCATGTGTTTGTGAAATTAAAATTTGGAGAAGGAGGTGATTTGCAAGAGGTTCCAGCTGCCCTTGCTCCACAACTGCTGCTAAGTTGGGGCTGATGGTCTTGAACTTTAGGAAAAGGAAATCCTCTCATAAACTCAGGAAGGGTTGGGGGAGGTTATGTCCCTCTTCCAGCCCCACCTTTACACTTTGGAGAACAACCTGGGGGTCTCTCTATAAACTTTTGATAATCAATCTCAATATTTTAAAACATATATAAGAATGATAATGACAGGAATGAGAGCTAACATGCTTGTTGACATTCTCAAATCTCATTAAAGGAGGAAGAAGGAATTAAGAGGACGAGAGACATCTGCAATAAATGCCTTTGACGCCTCCTGGACTGGGGGCTAGGGGTTGGATGTTAACAATAAGCTTGCATTGTTATATTTTCTTTCAAGAATCCTTTTTAATTCAAGTTCTCACGGTCTCTGCCAAAGGCAGACTCCTTCATTTTTGAAGGAGTAAAATATCTTCCAAGTTATGATCCTTTCTCTGTTCCTCTTGGCCAGACTGGTTTACAGATCTATCTACCCCAAGTTCTCCAGAAATGGGAGGTGTCTACACGCGCTGTTGAATGGCATCTGGTATGTCTTTTTACCTCCAAAACCACAGAGCACTGAGGAGTAGGACCAGTCTGGACAGACCTTACTGGTCCCTACAGGCCACTTAGGACACTCACAGGGCATGTGGGTTTAGATTTCCCACACCAATGCCAGCTCCTGTGAAATAGACAGATCAGCCTAGTACAATGATTGGTCCAGCATCCCATGCAACTTCTGTGCCATTCACAGATACTTACAGGTGAACGATTCTGTATCATATTCTTTATTAGAATCTAAATCCACATTACATGTAGACAGCAAGCACTTTTTTAAATTTTACATCATTGTTTATTTTTAAGCAATATTTGCTTCCCCCACCCCCTCAGGTGTAGTCCCCATAGTTTCCTCCACCAATGCACCCGTGCACCATCACCTCAGTCCCCTGTGCTCCTCCCACCCTCCTTCTGATCCCTCTCCCTCCTCCTCCCCTGCAGGATGTCTCTGATTTATAATTGTCTGTTTTTGCTTTGTTGTGTTTTGTATTGTTATTTTTTTTTACACTGATGGGTTCCCCTATATTCCTGCTATAAGTGAAACCACTATTTTTCTTTTTCCTTCTGGCTTATTTCACTGAGCATAATTCCTTCTAGCTCCAGCCACATTGCTGTGAATGGCATGAGTTTATCTTTCTTGATTGCTGAATAATATTCCATGGTGTATATATACCACATCTTCTTGATCCAGTCATCTATCTTTGGGCATTTGGGTTGTTTCCAGGTTTTACCTATTATAAATAGTGCTGCAATAAACATAGGTGTACAGGTGCTCTTAAGAATCAATGTTTTTGTATCCTTTGGGTAGAAACCTAGGAGTGGAATTGTAGGCTTCATTTGGTAGCTCCATTTTTAGTAGACTGAGGAACCTCCAGAGAGCTTTCCATAGTGGTTGGCCCAGTTTGCACTCCCACCAGCAATGTAGGAGAGTTCCTTTTTCACCACATCCTCGCCAACATTTGTTGTTGCTTGTTTTTTTGATATGTGCCATTCTCACTGGTGTAAGATGGTATGTCAGGGCCTCCCCGGTGGCGCAGCGGTTGAGCGCTGGGCTGCGAAGCTGCGCGCAGCCTCTGCAGCATCAGTTTGATCCCCGGCTGCTCCCAGACCTCTCCTGCCGCCCGCTGCTCCCCTCAGCAGTGGACTTTGGTCCTTCTGCCTGCTCTGCTTCTGCTCTGGCTCTGGTGAATTCTCTCACCCTCCCGCGCTTCTGACTGTACCCAGTGTTTGTATAAATAAATAAATAAATCTTTAAAAAGAAAGAAGAAAGAGAGAGAGAGAGAGAAAGAAAGAAAGAAAGAAAGAAAGAAAGAAAGAAAGAAAGAAAGAAAGAAAGAAAGAAAGAAAGAAAGAAAGAAAGAAAGAAAGAAAGAAAGAAAGAAAGAAAGAAAGCCATACCCCCTTTCTTTAAAAAAAAAAAAAAAAGATGGTATCTCAGTATGGTTTGATTTGCATTTCCCTGATGATAGGGGATGTTGAACATTTTTTCATATGCCTGTTTGTCATTTGCATTTCTTCCTGATGTATTGTCCCCTTGATCATAATGTAGCGTCCGTCTGTGTCTCTTTTCACCCTTTTTAATTTGAAGTCTATTTCATCTGATATAAGTATAGCTGTTCCTGCCTTCTTTTTTGGTCAATTTGCTGACAGCAAGCATTTTTTATGTAGCATCTCAGTAGTACAGTACAATTTCCAGGAGTATAACAAATAGAAGTCTGTCCTTTATTTCCACTCAAAATGTTGCCTAAATTTGTTTACTTTGGTATAAATACCCAGATATTTGGCTTGCGGGTGCTTTATCAACCTACATTTGTAGTTGTATGTATAGTGATTCTATGTGGGCACCACTTATACTGGTTAACATATTATTTCATTACAAATTATTTTCCTTGTAAATGGATCAGGGCAGGGGAGGAAGAGCACAAGGGACTATGGTGATGGTTCATGGGTGAAATGGTAGAGGAAATTTTACAGAGAATACTTAATGATGTAAAAGATATAAATACAAAATAAAAAAGTTATTTTCCCTTTATTTCTCCTTTCTTTGACCAAACACATATTAATGAACAATAGTTCATTATAAGTAAGTTTCCTTTATATTTCTCCTTTCTCTTACTAGTTCATTATAAATTATTTTCCTTTTATTTTTCCTTTATTTTGCCACCTGGGAATGATATTTATTTTTAATGATATATTATCTTATCTATTAACTACATCTCAACATAGTAAAGGCAAAACTACAAAATATAATTTTAAAAAGAAGAGTTGAGCACAATTCACAGTAGAATTATGCTCTAATGGTTAAAAAAACACAAGGATTGTCAAGCATTCCATATTAACAGTGGATGTAGAAAATTTTTTCTGATGGATAAAATGTATATGGTACAGATGTAAAGTTTTCTATGTAAAAAAATCTGTACAACTTCCTGTACAATATTGATTCTCATTTGGCATATTCTTATCAGGTTACAGTTCAATAAAGTTTTTGAATTATTTCATCAAAGCAATCAAAAAAAAAAAAAAAGAAGAGTTGAATACGGTGGAGAACATGCTCAAGGCAATTTCTTTGAATCCTGAGATCCAAAAGGAAAGAAAAGGCCAAGCAAATGTCCAGCAGAAACATCAAAAGAGTCTCCCTCTTGCCTGCCCCTTAAGTCTCAGCTCCCAGTGCTCTGTCTGGGGGCTCTGTCCCCTCCCTGCTCCCCATTATTGGAAAATGCACCCACACATAAACTTTCCACCACCATCTCCACACAGCTGATTCCACATCTGCTCTCCAGGTCTGACAAGGCAAAGCAGCCAACCCCAGTTCATTGTTTGCATGAGCACCTCCATTTGGCAGCACCGCTTACATTCAGGCAGCAAGTCACACATCGTCACCCTGTCCCCAAAGCAGGGTATTCCTAACATTGGCTCACAGCATCCTCATCCTCCAATCACCCGGGGTACAACCTCAGATAAAAAACTTCAGTCATCTGTAACAACACTTCAACTCCCCTTGCAGCCCCCAAACCAGTCATCAAGCCTGTCTCAGTGGTGTGCCAGTAAAGTGTCCTTCCCAAAGGGAGATGTATTTCCCAAGCCCTAATTGTAGTGTTTGCCGGTTTCTGTGGTGCAAATATTCCCACTGCTGCCAATGTAAAACTACCAAAACTTAACATCTTCCCAAAGCTCTGAGAGAACCAGAGGGTGATTTGCCCAAGAAACACCCATCACCATGTTGGCCAGACACCCTGAGGTAGGAGGTACCCTTTGAAACCATGCAACAAATCCAGAAGAACGTGACATCAAGATCCCCCTGGACATGGCCGTCTCTGAAGATGTGACTTTAGCAAGATCCATCGCCGAGCAGAAAGGGTTTCAGATCAAACAAACATCAGCTCTAGCAGAAAACACTTACTCACCCCTCTGAAGCCAGCTGGGAAGACACTTAGGCCAAGCCTTTTCGTTGTGGTTTTACGACAGTCGGGCTGCAGGCACTTGCCCAACGCCCCCCAACCCCACACCTCGGAGGGGTTAGCCAGGCCTCTACCAGTCCGAGGGTGCAACCAATGGACGAGGGCTCACCAACCAACAGGACCGTCCATGCTGCTTGGTCTCAGGGCTTGGAGGTCCCTACCTGCACCAGGAACCCCAGCAGGCGCCGAGCAACAGGCCTCATGAGTCAGCTCTGGCCAGTCGAGCCTCGACCACTGAACTCTCATCCTCCCGCTTTTCTGGCTCCTCAGGGCTCAGTTCCCACAGCCATGGTGGGTCCGTGGGATGGCCCTGTGTTTCCTCGCAAACCCAGTATTTGCCTGGAGCCCTCGGGGCGCCTTCTTCCAGGCCGTCCTCGCAGGCTCCTGGCCGGGTGCAGACACTCCTCAGGCCCGTTTATAGGAAACCAGTCAGGCGCTGGGGTGACGCCACAGAGAGGAAAGAGAGGACTGGGGCGGCGTCCCGCTCACCAGCTGGAAATCCCCTCCCAGGGAACCTGGCATCGTCATTCTTCCTCCGGGCCTGGAAAGGGACCTCGGCCTGGGTTCTGGATCCTTCGGGAGCAGAGCCCAGGAGGCGTGACTGGCGCACCACCAGGGCACTCGTGGCTTCACTGTGATGATTTGTGAAGCAGAAGAAAGTGGCGGGCAGATGGGGGCGCAGGGGTGGAGGGGCTGCTGGGCCTCCCGGGGCCCCGCGTGGTTGGTTGTGGGGCACTAACGCTCCGCGGCGCCCTGAGGAGAACCGCGCGGGGGAGGCTACCAGACAACGCCCGCGAGTTTCACTTGTGAAGTGAAACAGGCTACGCTGTTCCTGAACTATCTGGAAAGTACGGAGCAAGTTCTGGCCCCACCTTTCTGTTTTTCAAGAACTGTCAGAAACTCGCCCCCTCCCCCTCGGCGCAGGGCGCGGAGCTGACGCCACGGGAGCCCGCGAGGTCACGACCCGCCCGGGGAGGGGCCAGGCTGGGGCTCGTGGGGTCCGCGGGACCGGCTGTGGCTTCAGCAGACAGGTCTTGGTGGGAATTCTTTCTTTTTTCTTTCTTTTTTTAAATTTTAACATTTATCTTTTTTAGAAAAGATTTATTTTATTTATACGAGAACCGGGGTACAGGCCAGATATGCGGGAGGGTGAGAGGACTCACCAGAGACAGAGCGGGGAACAGAACAGGCAGACTGACAAAATACACTGCTGAGGGGAGAAGCGGGCGCGGCGGGAGAGGTCTGCTCGCCATGTGGGTTGCTCGGAGATAGGCAGGGATCGAACTGGTACTGCAGAGGCTGCAGACAGCCTCACAGCGCTGCGCTCAACCGCCTTCCCCACCAGGGAGGCCCAACATTTATCACTTTTAAAAAATTTTTAGACAATATTTGCTTCCCCCCCCCACCCTCAGATTGAGTCCCCATAGAATCTCCTTCCCCAAGGCACCCGTGCACCATCACCACTGTCTCCTGTGCTCCTCCCTCCCTCTCACCCCTCTCCCTTCTCCTCACCTGCAGGATGTCTCTGGTTTATAAATGTAACCTTCAGTTGAGCTGTTTGCTGTCTTCTCAGATGAGTTGTTTAGAGCCCCGGGCAGTGGGCTCAGCCACCCCAGCTCCACAGGAGGGCTTGGAACCATGAAGGAGCTGGTGGTGTGGACGAGCTAGAGACAGCTGACCCCAAGACCCCAAATTCCAGGAAAGGCCTGACACCCAAAGCTGAGTGTTTCTCAGGAGAGAAGCACACGGGGAGAGCAATATGCGTCCAGCAAGCACATTCTGGAACACCACATAGCACTGGTGTGAACCTGAGACATTTGCTGTTTTGGAAAAGGAAGCCGCTCAGCAAGGACTACAAGCTTTCACAGACTGGCTAACACAGGCCAGCTGTTTGAGAGAGGAGCTTGGCGTAGGATTGTGGGCCTTAAGATCTGAAAATGGGGCACCACCATCTAACCTAAAAGGAGAAAATAAAGAACTGTTCCCCATGTGTAGGAAGCTCACACTACAAATACTTAATTCCAGTAGAGCAGGGCTGTAGTCCTCAGCAAGGACTAGAAAATCTTTCTTACCCAGGTTGACTCTGCGGCTTTCACAGAGTGAAATAATTTAATATATATATATATATTTTCCCACTCAAAATAGGATGCCTTGTTTAATTCAAAAATAAAATCATAAGAAAACATAAACATTTACTTGTGAATCCATCCTGGATTATGTTTATCTTTATACCCACATAATCATAAAAGATAATTTTTAAGTGTTTTTATGGATGGCAAAGTCATGATGTGGCCTGAATTGAGGGAGGAGCCATAGATGGCACCCCAGTGGACACCAACCATGTGGAAAGGGTCAGAAAGTTCTCTCACAATGAGGCATTTTTGGTTAGAGGAAATGCCCTCCAATCTAATTGGAACAAAGCAGGCCCACTGGGTGGTCAGAATTTGGGCGTCAGACAATTGAGTGGTGATGATAATATCCAGGGTTAAGGACTATCGCCTCCCACCCTTTTTGGTCTTACTCCCCACGAAGTCTATTCAGCTAGGGGAACTGAGTGGATCTGCAGACTGCTGACAGTGGAGCTGTTTATTTCCCCACCATAGTCATGAAATAGGCCTCAGCTGACTTCCCTGTCCCCATGAGGATATCAACGGAACAGGAAGTGTACATGACACTAGTGCCCAGAAACAATACAAGTGTGCCCCAGTGGTCCAGGGCAGATCAGCACTCCATGGTGACTGCCCTGCTTACCTTTGGCTTTGCCACCTACCCACCTGGGGTGCAGTTTCAATGGGCCTTTCCACCCAGGGCCCCCCTGTGTCCCAGGGTGGGCATGTGATTGCAGCATGACCACCAGGAGGCTCCGATCTGTGAAGTCGCACTGGGAGCTGATGATGTGACACCTAAGCTGTGTCAGGGTTCATGTGCCCTATTCCTGGAGCTGAAAACTGTTCTGTTCCCAGTTGCCAAAGTTACCACAGTGCCTGTTTCGATTTGTTTAAATATTGAGCTAAACTATATCTTTTTAAAGAGAAAAGGATACTGCAAGGTCTTCTAATAAAAGTTCTTCATCAAGAAAACAGATTATTTCCTCCAAGGAAAGCAAACACCTAAATTTCTTTTTAGAAAACCAAAGGAGGCTTTGCTGTATGCCTGGACATAAGGTGGGAAAAGATAAATAATAAAAGATAAATAAAAGGATAGATAGCGCTGAAGCTATTTCTGAGAACAGGTACTTTCATAGAATAGACTTACCTTCTGGAACTCCAAGGACCAAGAAATTTGCTTGTTCCCAACACAGATTCCCACCCAAACAGGCCTCACAGTTCACCCTGTTCCATGTCCAAAAAGCACTGTACCCAGAACTCATATCATAAATTCTGCACAGTCGCCAGACCTGCTTTAAAATCACCCAGCCTAGTGCTCGCTTCGGCAGCACATATACTAAAATCACCCAGCCTAGACCTGTACTCCAGACTCCCCCTTCAGTGCTGCATGACTAAGACTCTGTCAAGGTGGTGTCCTCCCTTTACTGCTGTAAACAACATAATTAGCTTGGCTCCATCAGCAGATAGTGCAGGTGGTCTTTTGGGGAGTCAGCATTCAAACACCCCTTTCTTCTGGTAGGTTATCTGAAACCCCCTGTTATCTAAAAGACAAATCCATTCCACATGTTGAAGTGGAGCATCCTCTCCCTTCCTCTGGCCAGGAATGACCTCAGGGATGGACACATTACCTGGGAGGATCCCATTAAAGTCTTAACCAAAGGGCTAGCTACTTGCGATGGGATGGTGGCAATGTGTAGTAGCTGAACTATGGTGCAGGATGTGACAGGTAGGATCCCCCCCCCCATCCCTATCCTCATGTGGGAAGCAAGGCGACCGATGACATGGCTCAGACTTGGGATTTGGACATTGCAAGCCGGCTCTTTGAGACAAGTGATGGAATCCCATTAGCATCTTGGAATTTCTTTACCTTTTAACGGCTTTATGAAGGCATTGGAAGAAAGGCAGGAGGTGTCAGCTAAGCTCCCCTAGTTGGAAGAAATAGCCAGTGGCTTTGGATATTAGCTCACATTCATTGCATGCTGTGCCAGATGCCTGTGCATCAAGTTCCTCATTCAGTTTCCACAATAATTCCATAGTTAATGCTGTTGTTATCCTGACATTACAGATAAAGAAACTGAGGCTTAGGGAGATGCAAAGACTGAGGCTCAGGGAGATGAGGGTCAGCGAGGATGTGCCTTGCAGAATCTCAAGACCCAGGGTCTTTGCTTCAGCCAAAGGCACATGATCAAACAGTCAGGGAAATATTATAGATGGGTCCTAGGAGGAGCCAAAGAAATCAGGTGAACCCACATTCCAGTGCTGCAGTCTGGCAAGGACAGACCCAGGGTCTTGGGTTTTCCCAGAGCTGAGTACGACACAGTAAGCTGAAAGTGAAAAGCATGGGCAGAACATAAGCAGCCAAGAGACAGATTTCACAGAGGTGAGCTTAGTTCAAGGACCCCACATCTTAACTTTGGCTGTCAGACCTACCAGCATCAAAATGGGTTTTGAAAGTTTTTTTGCCAAGGAAATGTTTATGGCCTGCAAAGAGGGGTCTGGGCTTCCTCAGCCACCAGAGAAATCCTCAGCCTTCCTCCACACACACCCACAAAATAGGGGGCCATGTGGCTATTGCCATGGCCATGGAGCAGCATGGTGCTGAATAGAACTGGGAACCCCCAGGTGGGCTGAAAATAAACTCTACCAGGCCAGGAGCCCTTGCCTACCCACCCCTGCAGGGAAGAGTATGCCCTTTGTATCATTGACCACTGTGTGGCTTCTTCCCTATTCCTGAATGGTAACTTGTGACCTCTAATGCCTTATTTTCCTTGGGTATAAGAAAAGGGTAATATCTGCATTTCACCCTGGGGCTATTGTGAGGATTTTTTTTTTTAAGATTTATTTATTTATGCATACAAGAGCTGGGCTGCAGGCCAGAGGTGCAGGGGGTGAGAGGATTCACCAGAGACAGAGTGGGAAACAGAACAGGCAGACTGACTGAAATACACTGCTGAGGGGAGCAGCAGGCAAAGACAACAGAGGTCTTCTGCGCCCTGTGAGTAGCTCCCTGGCCGTCCAGGAATCGAACTTGTGCTGCAGAGGCTACAGATAGCTTCATAGTGCTGTGCTCAACCCCTTGCGACACCAGAGAGGCCCTGTTGTGAGCATTTAATAAGTTAAATAAAAAATGCTTAGCATCCCAGGCACAGAGTAAGAGCTCCAACAGTGTTGGGTGTGGTTTGCTCTGTCCACAACCTTCCTCCCCCACCACGTGCCTGGGAATTAGTTACAGTGTTCATTTATTCCTAGGAAGTCAGAACTAGCTGAGAGGTCACCCACAGACTTAGGAGGCATGGATATCTCCTGACCACACTGGACATGAACTCTGAACTATCATGTCCCCTCTGCAGGCAGAGACTTGTCTGATTTTACCTTTCCCCTTGGGAATAGGTCTCTCTTTGGATGTTCTATGGGGCAGTTGTAGTCTTTTGAATGAGATCACTCTTAAAAGCATGTGTATAAGGGCACAATTGTGTGCGTTGCCACAGGTTGAGCACTCAAAGGAAAGGGAGTGGAAATCACGGGACATCACCTAGTAACAGAAGCCCTTGTCCAATATGCCCCTGCCCCCAACCTCCAGGATGAGTCATAACTAAGAATCACAACTAAGGCAACAGGAAAGCAAGGAGCTGTGTCCTTCTGTTTCCCTGGAATGAGGGGTACTGAAAAGGAACTAGTGGGAGACATTTGAAAAAGTGGGGAAGAGAAGGCAGTGCCCCATCAGGGCTAAGCTGTGAGACTCGTTCTTCAGAACAGTAAGGATTCTGAAAGCATCCTCTCACATGGCTGCTCTAAACATCCTTGCTACCTGTGCTGCCCCATTTGCTCTTCCTTACAACAGGAAGCAGGGAGGGCTGCTAACCTGCTTTCAGGAGTGTGGTTGTGACCTCTTCTGAGACCTGAGCCCCTCCCAGGGGCCTGTCTCATGCTTCACCTGGTTCCCCTGGCTCTGACACGGCTCTGGGTGCACAGCCAGTCCCCACAAAGACCAATGAGGAATTATTTTATTGGGAGAGATATTCTCCTGTAGTTCTAGTTATAAACACAACATGAGCGCTTTTTGAGTGCTTCATAGGCATCTTTGTATTTAAAAGAATCATGATAATGGAGACATTTTTAAGCCACACTTGAAATTGAAAACATAATACAACCTTTTCAACAAAGAAGGTATCAGTCAGAACAAAACGTAACTATATATTCTACAGATGACCATTTTTCCTAAGATGACCGCTAGATATGTAACATCATACAGACATCTAAAAATCCCCTATTGATGCTTTAGAAAAAATACACAAAGCAAATTACATTTTCTTTTTCTTCCCGAGTAATAAACTATGACATCCACTCGAGAAGGCGCCTGCCAACCCATCCAAGGCATCTCAGTACCCTTTGCCTCTTAGCACTGACTGTCTTTTACATGGAATCTGTCTCCTGTAGGAATGGATTAAAACACTCGTGTCAAGTGCAGTCGGCATGTGTCAACTGGTGTATTTTTACATCGTGTTCCTAAGTTAACACAAGAAAATGAAAAGAAAACACTCTCATGTGAAAGAAAGCTAAGAATGACAAAATACATTTTGGTAATTACCTCACAAAGTCAAAATCAACCAACTTTTAAGTCACAACTTTTGTCTTAAGGAACATTTATTAATACTTTTTGTGGACGTGTTTTAAAGGCATAGGTTTAAATGCACATGCAAACAGCCTGCTTCTCCCGGGACTTATGGACCCAGCCTCACTCCTCTTTTTCATGCAATCAAGCTGCTAAGCCCTTAGCTCCAAAGGCTCTGGTGCCTCGTCTAAGTTTTTTAAAATAAAGTAGGTGATATATAAGATTTTTTCATAAAAATGAAGTATGGAGAAAACTATGAGTAGTGAGGAGAAAAGTATTATAATTAAAAAAAAGTAGTCTGTGATGGTCAAACTCAGAGAAAAGCCAAGTCATGGTGATTGTTACTAAACCATGAGAGGTCAACTAGACTAGGACAGAACAGGCAGCGGCCCAGAGAGCCCTAGGGCACCTGATGAAAGGGGATCTCTGAGAAGGATGCTCAAGTTGCAAATGTGGTGAACACCAACTCAGTGGCAGATGCAGTGGCTTATTTATGTCTGCATCCCTGTTCTTGGCATGGTCTTACACAGGGATGGACACTCGGCAGGTATTTCTGGGAAATGAGGAGCTGAACTGAATCAGCTTCCTGTCTTCAGCCACTGGGGATGGTATTTACTTACCAGATTCATTCACTCCTCTGAGGTGCCATCTACTTTAGGGGACAGAAAATGGATGCCTGGAGACAATGATGACATGGACTTGGAAACAGAGTCTTGGTCCAGAGGAAATGTGTGACGCCAATGTGTGATGCCTTCTTGGAAGATAGGGGCACAGATGTGACGTGTTCCCCAGCCCTGGTCTAGGAGAAAGGCACCCAACATCTCATCCATGTCCTTTTCTGTGGCTCTGCAGCCTCTCGGGAGCTCTGCAGAAAGATGCAGCTCACAATATGCTGGCTGAGCAGGTCAAGGCCTTCCCCCTCAACTGACCTCAATGGCCACACAGGTGGGGTCCCAACTATACCTGGAAATCTGCAGAACAGCCTACACCATGTCAGTGAGTAACTTTGTTGAAAGAGAACAGGCATTTGTTTATGTGATTGTTCCCTTTGTAGAGAACCAGCAGGGGCCGCTCAGGACAACCTGAAGCGATACCTAAGGCATTTGGAATTTCTTGGGGTTTTGGTTCAAAAACAATGACATGGTTCCATTCTCTTTGGTATTCATGCTTAATCTGGTTTCTTACTAATATCCATAACCTTCTCAGTAATTCATTGTTATGACTGTTAGAATAACGGACTCTTACACAGTCATCAGAAAGGATGTTAAGGGGAGAGGAGAGGCCTCAGAAACAGAGAGTGTTGAAAGGAAAACCAGAAGGAATGACAGGAAGAACCAGCAATCTCCCTCCACTAATTTACTCAGCACTCACTCGCCTTCCAATTATTCTCTGCAAAACACATGATTTCTGCAGGCCAGCTCCCATGGAGATGCCAGAACCTCCTCTCTTCATTGCGGTAGGCCAGCTCACAAAGCACCTCTCAAAGCACCTCAGAAAAGAAGGATAAAGCATTTAGAGAAAGGAAGAAAAGGGAGGGCTATTACCAAAGAGCAAAGGCCTGGGGGACAGGGGAGATTTTCAGTGAAACATTGCCTCCATCATAGGTAGAGTCTTCCATGAACATCACCAGCAAGAGCTCAAAGCGGAGCTAAAATCACCTTCAAATGTCAACAGACTTTATATCTACAGAGGAAGGATGATGTCCCAAATGCATGAATCTCTTCCTACTGTACACTCCGTTTTGCCCACACACAGCTAGAAGATGGAGTTAAGACCATGTTAGAAGTCTGTGACTTAGAGCTGTAACAGGCCAGCAGGTGCATACACACTTGCACATATACACACACATACACATATACACACATCAAAAAGATCTTTGTGGATCAGAGTATGCCTTCACTTGGTCCAAGAATGTACTTGTTGACATTGGGGGAGTAACCCACAGAATGTAATCAGGGAGAGAAATGATAGATGGAAATAATATTGCATTGTGCACAAAGTGGTTATTTTACAAGCTCCGCTGCAATTGTTTGTCCAGAACTAATTCAGACTAATTCAGACTAGAATTTCCTGAATCTGTAGTATAAGGTTAAACCTTAAAAATGTTAAGCTCTGAGCAACAAAAATTAACAATTATCTAAAATAAATTAGATTTTTAAATACATGTAATGAAATTATGGGTATTGGGAACTAAAGTCTATAATGAATATAAATTAATATAAATTTACTATTAAAGTACCATTCCCAGGAAGATTTCAGTTTCCAAAAAAAGATCAAATATTTTAATAATTGGATCTACTTAGAAAGCCTTAAACAGTGTTGTAAAGAGAGTACTAAGATTATGTAGAGACAAGATACAAAAATCTGTTTCCATGTTCATCTTGAAGGCTTTCCTCATTTTGCAAGTATTCCTGAAAAGCAGTGCAAATATATTACAGCCGGACCCTTACTTTAAATAACGAGGAGGCCCTGGTTGTAAGGAAACCCTGTAGTGTCCCCTGTGGAAACTGAAGAACTCTGGAAGGACCAGCTTCCTGTACCCCAGCAGCACTGACACTGCAGACTGGAGGCACCCAAAGTGTCTACTGAATAGCATGAATGTTGCTTTTGCTTTTCTGTGGGACTTCCTTAGTGAGGCATGCTGTAACTGGGAAGTTAGAATGGAAGACAGAGTCCAGCTCACAATTCGATGACTCCATTACAAAGTTTGGGGAATTTCAGGAAGGGATTTTCAATGGAAAAATAATGGCTGTATGTGTATAATTTTTAAAGAAATGCTGACCTACGACAGGCAGCTCCTCTTCATTGCTCACTGATTTACTGAGAACAAATACTGCGTGAGCTGGGCTCCATAAGTGGAACCAGTATCTAATTTCAGAAACACCATCAGAGCCATTCCTCTATGGACTTCCTTCCATCTCTACAGACAGAATTTCACAGCTCAACTCACGTCACCCCACAAAAGCAAAGCATAAGTTAAAGGCAAAGGTTCAATTAGAAAGAGGCCTGATTTAAGCGTGATAATGTTTTCAATCTTGAAAGAACTAAGTCAAATACATTCAATAAAGGCAATGCTTCAAAGGCAATTTGTTTTCTCATTTGGTGCTTCCTCCTCTTCCCATTTAAGACTCAACTTCATATATATATATATATACTTTAAGACAATATATCCTCTTTTAAGTAACAGAACCCCTAGTCTGCAATCTGTCACATCAGTAAAAGAAGTTATGTCAGCCTATTTACTCAGCATCAAAATTGCCCAAAAGATTGGAAAAATAGCTGAGGATGTTTTTATGCAAGTTTTGGGGAGGACTGGATGTCTGCAGTGATCCCTCTAGGGTTTCATCAGTGTAAGTTTCCTGGAAAGTAGTGTGCAAATAAAATATCTGACCATAGAGCCCTAGTTTAAAAACACTACGGGTAGAAATGGGTATGAGTGGGGGGAGCGAGGGAAGAATAATGGTGTTAATATAAACACCTGTCAACTAAATTAATACCAACAACAAAAATCTCACACAGATATCTCAAGTGACCTAAATAAAATTGATTTTAAGATCATTTGACCACTCGCCTACCCTTTACTGACTTTGGCCCCCAAGTGACTAAGCATACTCCAAGAATCTACTGACTGAGCCCATCAGACTCAGTCATTGGCCCAAGGGGATGATATTTGAATGAAAACATTATTATCATGGATGTGCTCCCAGCATGGAAAAATCAAGAATAAAAAAAATTAAAAAGCAGGGCTCTTGCCCCCCACGTTTTCAAGTCTATAGTTCAGGGAAGCTTATTTACAGCTGTGGTCCACGTGACAAGCTGACAGCCCCCTTTTCTCTTTGGACCCCGGCCTCCCTTGCCCTGGGAACGGCCTAGCATCCTCGCCCAGGCCCCACAGGCCGTCAGGCCTCTGTGCGGTTGGGCAGGTAGAGGGAGGACACCAGCAGGTTGTGTCCGAAGGCTGGGAAGCGCCGGAAGGCCTCCCAGCTGTCGGAGAAGATGTTGTACTTGAGGAAGACGCGGTGCTCCAGGCTGGTGGACAGGGTGACGTCCCTGCTCATGATGTAGATGCCGTCGTTATGCAGCGCGCATGTCAGATTCAGGCCCGACTTGGACGTGTTCTCCTTGAGGTACAACCAGCGCCGTGTGGCCGTGTTGTAGGACTGCACGGTGAGCATGTCCTCGCTCTGGCTGCTCCTGCGGGCCGCGCCCAGCTCGTGCAGGCAGCCGCCCACTAGGTAGATGGTCTCCTCCACCGACACCATCTGCTGCTTGCGGATGTGCACGTCGCACGTCTCGAAGAGAGTCCAGGCGTCGGCGGCCGGGCAGTACTGCAGGACGTTCATGTTGCGGTCTGCAAGGAAGGCACAGGCGGGTGAGAACACGTGCGCACGCCCCCGCAGCTGCCCACCACCGTGAGGCCGACCCCCACGCACCCAGCGAGCGGCAGGTCTCCTGGGGAGGCCAGGAAAACTGGGCACTTTCTCCCACATACCCTCACTCAAGGGGGGACCCTCCAGGGGCTCCCTCAGAATCAGGAAGGTACAGAGAGGAGCAAGGTGGCCTGACCACCTTCCCTGTACTGAGACCCTTCTTGCACTTGACAATCGGCTGGTCAATATACAAGGAATAGGGACCTCCAACCCTCACTGACCACTACAACCGGCTGACTACCAGGGGCAGAAGGCAGGTGCCGCCCTGGACGGCCTGCCGGTGACCCCTAGTTCTGTGAAACAACACAAGACAGCAGAATGTTCAGGAAAGGACACAGGCCATAAAACCCCAAGTCAGGAGAAATACAGCAGGCTCGCCTGGGCCTCAACAACCACACTGGGTAAGGCACCAGGGCACCCGCAGGAGACCTTGGCTAGTGTCTGGATAAAATCAGAGGTGAGACTAGAGATGGCTCTGACATCATTTGAATTTCAGGGAAACAGCTGCTTACAGGGAAACTGTTGCTGTCTGTTCCCTTTTTTGAAAAACACTTGTGAATTTGTTTTTGGTTTTTTTTTTTTTCAAAGATTTATTTATTTATGCATACAAGAACTGGGGTACAGGCCAGATGTGTGGGAGGGTGAGAGGATTCACCAGAGACAGAGTAGAGAGCAGAACAGGCAAACTGACCAAAACACACTGCTGAAGGGAGCAGCGGGTGAGACAGGAGAGGTCTGCCACGCCATGTGGGTATCTCTGTGGCCAGCTGGGATCGAACCCATGCTGCAAAGGCTGCCAACAGTTTCACAGCACTCGCTCAGCCGCCTGCACCACCAGAGAGGCCCAACACTTGTGAATTTGAAGCTACCTATTTTCCTTTTTCTTTTCTTTTCTTTTTTTTTAATATGTTTTCCTTTGCTCTCTTTTAGGAAAGAATAAACTGAATATTCTAGCCTCCACAGGAAAACAGCTGCTCCGGAATTATCAGAGAGAATGAACTATCTGCTGGTGGTTGTTTTTGTCTATGTGTGTAAGAGAAAGCTAGCTGGGGAATGGCACCCTGCTGCCATGTAAGGGGGGAGCTATGCTGCCTCCAGAGACTGAACCACCACAGTGAATGCTGCTTACTGCACTGTCACAGAGGGTGTCTGCTACCAAGTCAAGTGCATCCCACAAGCATCCAAGGCATAAAGGAAGGCCAGCGCTTTGCTGGAGCACATTGCGCAGCCTGTACACATTCATAACAGGGCCCACTTCCGGGAAATGCTCTTCTGTTTTCCGCCCACACTCATACACCAGTATTTCGCTTTATTGTATTGTAATAAAACTCATTCTAGAAGGCAGCCTGGGGGAGTTCATGACTCATCTCTCCAGAAAAGCTCCTCAGTACCCTGGCATCCCCCCAGGCAGGAATAAAGGACTTATTCTAGCCCAGTAGCACTGCACTTCTCAGTTCCCAGCCTGGAGGTCCTTCCAGGTCTTCTGTAAATGTTTTCTCTGCTCACCCAACAAGGGCTCAGACCATGATGAGGTGGTTGGAGCTGGTGGAATGATCGTTGTGCTTTTGCATTTAGAGTTGATTCTGAAGTATAACAAATCACCCTTTTTCCCTTTAGCGGTTACTACTAGGTTCTATTGAATTTAATGTCTTCAGTGCCTGCCAAAGAACTAAAATAATCAAACAGCTATCATAAAAATCATGAATTATGACTTACAGAATTTAAAAATCTCACCTAATTTGAGAAGTCAGCAGGCTAAGCACCCAATCTTCAGTCCTGCATTTCTTTTTTACACGATAATTACGATTCCTTGTTTTAAAAACAGAGAACTACAAGAAGTGCTGGGAGGGTCCCAGACAGAAGAGGAGGGGTTCTCGTCTCAGCAAACTAGTCTTCAACCCTTACACAAACATCTGTCGGTCCACCTCACCTAAATGTCCCATCAAGGTGTTTGGCTGGAGAAATGCAGGACAGAAACCACTGTGGGTGGCCCGAGGGTAGAAGGATATTAGCAATGGCTGGTGAAACCAGAAAACACCCAAGCAAGGGTTTTCCAGGTCAAATCTAAAGAACATTTTCTCTGCCAAGGTCATGGAGGAACAAGGACATATACTAGCAGTGTCCTCTTGGGGTTGTGGGGCTACCAGTTATCCTATCTAAAAAAAAAAAGTGTCTCCCACTAGCCCCCAATGGCATTCCTGTGCTTAGAGGAGAACCAGAAACCCCAGCAGGATTCCAAAGTAAGATATTCCAGACTTTCCCAGAGAAAAGACACAATTATCAGCACACACACCTGAGAATTCTCTGGGTGGCCCTGGTCTCATCAAAACCTATAAAGTCGCCCCTAGGTACAAGTGTTAACCCAATGGCTCCTTTAACCCATTTTGAAGGTCAAGAAATGACAGCTGGGCCTCATTTCCCCAAAATGCTCATGAGGGATAAGTTAGCAGTCATCCATTCTTCAGTGGAGCCACTGGGAGGGATTTAGGAATAGTTTCGCAGGCAACAAGAACATGGAACAGAAAAGGAGCTCATGGCTTCCTCTGACAACAACTCCTTGTTGTCAGCACCTGTCCTTAAATGCATAAATAAACCAGCTGTAATGAGTAGAAAGGTGACACCTCAAAAGGTATGTCCACCTACTTGTGCCCAGAACCTTTGGCTATGACCTTACTTGGAAAAGGGGTCTTTGCTGATGCAATTCAATAAAAGTTCTCAAGAGGAGAACATCAGGGATGACCTTAGCTAGTCCACAGAAGAGGCAGGTGCATACAAAGGAGGAAGCAAGGAGTCACAGAGACACTGGCTAAGGGGCACGTGGAGCCACTAGCGTGGGAAGAGACAGCAGGACCCCCTGTTACATCACCCCAGAGGGAGCATGACCTGCCAACATGTGGATTTTGGACTTCTGGTCTCCAGAGTTGGGAGAGAAGACCTGTCTGCTCTTTCAGACCATACCTCTGTGGCCATTTGTCAAGTAAGCAACAAGAAACCAAAATACTCCCATCACACTCCCAACAAATCAACTGTTCAGAGGTTCTCCAAGAAGTGTTCAACTTTTGCTATCTCCAAAAAACAGTACATCAAATAGTCATAAAGCACCTTACACTTAACTTCTTGCTCTAACTTAAATCCCCCAAACGAGATTCAAGATTCACCTGGTCATGGTGAGAAAGATTTGGGGCACACGCCATATTAGTATGTGGATTTCTGTCCTACACAAAGTCACATGCAGCCTCACAGGGCCACGAATCATTTCTCTACCCAGCCATGGCTGCAGCCATGGCTGCAGAGCTGTCCTGCCACGAGGGACATCCAGGAGCATCACTTGTTTCCGTGTCAAACGTAATCAGGGTCATGTCATAACTGCTTTCACAAGGAAAAGTGCTAAGAGTCCAGCTAGCCTTTCTCTGTAAGTTCTGGGCTCTCTAGTCAGACAGACCAAAATGATCAAATTTTCTCAGTCAAGAGATAAAACTTGGAAACAACTCCTCTACCTGGAGGGAGTGGGGGGAGAGACAAGGGAAGGCCAGAATCTACCATAGCCTTTCTTACCTCAACAAGCTGGTCTCTGTCCCTGTCGGGGGTAGCTGCTACCTGCCAAGAAGAACACTATTGAACCTACCGGGAAAACTTACCTGCGAGCTGTTCACTACCCAATGCCTACTGAAAAAGCAAAAACCACATGCGCAGGGTTTAATAAATAGCATAACCACCTTGCCCCACTGGTCAGGACACAGTTCTCTTAAATTTATGTTCTTCCTCCTCATAAGATGTGTGAAAAACTGCTGCAAGCTGAGTTTCTAGAATCTCCTCTGACACAGTTTGCTCAAGAAGGACGTCAGTGAGGAGAGGCATCTACAGGGCTCTGGCGTGCTGCATAGGGCCAGTGGCTGTCTGAAAAAGTGTGAGCTTGGCTTAGCCACATCCCAGGACAGCAGGCCATAGGCTAGCTTTCCAGAGCAGAGAGAATATTGATTTTCTTCACATGCCCCCTCCCCATACAATCTACATGCACATACAAAGGCATCACAAGGCCCCCCAGCTGTCAGACAGGCCTCCTCCTTACAGAATGTGTGATGCCTAAATCACCCGTGCATCCCGGGCCTTCCTCCTCCCACCCTTCCCTGGGCTCCCCAGCCAAGTACCACTTCCCTGGCCCTTCACTCACCTCTTGTGGTGTAGCCACCAATGACATAAATCTTCCCCTTACACTCACACGCAGAGAACTCGGCCAAGGGGTTTGGTAGGGGGGCCACAAAATTCCACGCATCCTGCTCAGGATTGTAACACTCAACGTTAGAAACAGCTTGTCCACCAATGGCGTAGAGTTTTGAATTGACAGCCACAAGTTTGAAGTTTGACCTGAAAGAGAGACACAAGGGGCCAGAAAGTCAGTCTTGGTAATGATGAAATGATGGAGCAGACAGATGATGGTGTAGCCACCAGAGCAGAGTGCAGAAGCTGCTGGGTATCTGGGCGCCATTCTGCCTAGGCACAGAGGAATGCCCAGGTGGCAACTCAGATTGTGTTCACTTGTCCTCAAGACCCCACAAAGAAGGTGTGTACGCCAAACTCCAGCAACTGAAGACAGGCAAGGCAGTTTAACACCAAGGACCAGCAGGAGATACTCTGTAGACACATAACTCCATACCTTCCTGCAGGTCAGGGAGGAGGACCCCAGGTCTCTCTCCACTTAGAATACTGATCTTCCTTCCAGTGGTGGAGGGATGGGGGGTACCCATCCTCAGTACACACCGGCATTACCTACCCAGACAGGCAGACACAGTGGGTGGCTGCCAAAGGGGAGTCAGAAACCCCTTAATCATGAATCCCCCCACATATCACTGCCCCCTTCTCCAGAAGGCGTGTTTCATACAGTGCTAACACATATAAACATGGGAGGTAAATCAAAGTAATCTGATCCAGCCTCTTGGGGCATTACACCTGTTAAACCCTCACCTCAACAAATGCTCTCCTATCATAACATTAAATGACTTTTTTAAAAAAGATTTATTTATTTATGCGTACAAGAGCTGGGATACAGGCCAGATGTGAGGAGAGTGAGAGGATTCACCAGAGACAGAATGGGGAGCAGAACAGGCAGACAGACTGAAATACACTGCTGAGGGGAGCAGCGGGCGAGACCGGAGAGGTCTGCTGTGTTATGTGGGTTGCTCCCTGGCTGGCCAGGGGATTGAACTCGTGTTGCAGAGGCTGCGGATTGCTTCACAGCGCGGTGCTTAACCCCTTGCGCCACCAGGGAGGCCCAACATTAAATGACTTTTAAAAGAGAAATACTCTGGTTTTAAGCAGCACATAAAGTAATAGGGTCAAATGGTGCTCATCAGATTCAGGTATCAGATAAAAGGCTCATGACTTGTGAACTGAAACGGCCACATTCCTGAGCTTCAAGGAAGCACAGAGGGACAGGGACCATGGACTCCTCCAAAGCCAGAAAGGAGAAACATTTGCAAGTGCTGGGTCAGTCTGTGGAGAGGCTCATCAGTCTAAGTGCACATTAGGGGAAGCAGTCGCTTGAGTGACACCAGAGAATGACGCTGGCACACTTCGGGGACCAGGCTCTAGTCCCAGCTCTACTGCTAACAGGCTGTTTGCTGTGACTCTGCTTCCTCAAGCCCTGTATGGGGTGAGACCCACCACAGGGGATGGATAAAGAGACAACCAGCAAATGCTCAGAAAGTACCCCAAAGAGAAAAGAGAATTATTGTCATTTCTCCATTTTCTAGTGCCTGGAAATCTAGAGACTAGCCCAGGTGAGGCACGCCAACACAATTTCTTCTAAAACTGCAATACCCTAAGAAAGAAAGTGGGTGGAGGTTACAAACGAAAAACAGTGTGTAAGAGGGTGGAGTAAGAAGGACGGGGTATAAGTGGCCCATGGCTAGTCCATCTGGTGTTTACTAAACACCAATACTGAATGGATGTTAGTGATGGCCACTTAATAAAAAATTAAGATTTTTCAAAGGTGCATGTAATGTTTATATTTAAATTAGCTTTGGTTTTGTTTTGAAAAACCAAAGTGAATAGAGTACTCTTCCCTAAAAACCTCATATTGTCGGTTAAATGCAGCCAGCCATTCAATTTCTCAAGCCAACAGACTTCCCAGGGGTGGCAGTTTCTGGGGGGTCTCTGTAGCATGTTGCTGAGCTTTCTTGCTGCCAATGATCCTTGAAATCTGGCCACGACGCCCTCTTGATGTTTGCAAATTGGGGGAAGCAGGGGAAATAGGGCTCGTAAATAAGCACTAAATGTGACCAGCCCACAATTTGTGTTTGCTCCCCCATGGTGCACAGATAGTAAATTTTGTAAGATCAAAACAGCTTTCAGTATTCATCCAGCATCATCGCTGGTCCCAAGCAAATATGCTGATTTCTAGTCCACACACCGGGCCCAGGTGGGACAGAGCCTCCTCTCAGAGAGGGAGGGCCTCCTCTGGCCATTTTCAAGTTTGTGGGCACCGTATTAAACATTCTTTTTTCTTTTGTCCAGGATACAAAGAGCTATATAAAATCTCCCAATCCTTAGGATCAGGCCCATACCTTGCCAGGTAGGACTAGGATCACTAACTGCTCAGTCCCTGGGGAAAGAGACGGATTGGCAGGTGATCCCCCTCGACAAGGTGAAGTGGCACAGAGACACCCCAAAGTCTGCATCCAGGTAATGTGAAATGCTGTGTAAGCTGCCTTTTTTACCCCAAAGTTCTACACTTCTTCCAGTGTTTCTGGAGCCTGTATTGGCTGCATTACCCAGCAACAATCCCATTTGAGGTTTCATTTTTCCTTGTCTCATCCTCTAAACTCAAATAAAACTCCTTGAGGGCAGGGAGCAGCATGTCTTCATGCATCTCCACAAGTGACTGGACACATGCTGCAGATAGAGGGCATGATGAAGTGAGGCTCACACCAGTGACAAAACGTGATCAAGCAACACAGAGTCACAAATATCTGCACACCACTTCTTGGGAAAAAATAATTTTCAAAGAAGAAAACTTTAAATCTGCATGAAGATCTTATCTGCAGAAAAGGTAATATCTGTCCTATGATATTTGATCTACAGAAAACCCTACAGTTCCCACCAAAAAACAGAACCAATCATAAATTTTGTGAAGATACAGAACACATTTGCATCCACTGATAAAACATCTGAAAAAGAGGTAGAGAAAATAATCCCATTTAAAATAGCAACAGAGGGCCTCCCCTGGTGGCGCAGCGGTTGAGCGCTGGGCTGCAAGGTTGCCAGCAGCCTCTGCAGTGCCGGTTCGTTCCCCAGCCGCCAGCGAGGGTCCCACAAAATAAATAAATAAATAAAATAGCAACAGAAACAATAACATACTTGGGAATAAATTTAACCTTGGGAATAAGTTTATTCTGTACACGGAAAACAAGACAGTGATAAAACGCACTGAAGAGGACACAAAGAAATGTAAAGATATCTTATGTTCATGGATTGGAAGGAGTGACATTGTTAAAAGGCCCACAACCGGGCCTCCCCTGGTGGCGCAGGCGGTTGGGCGCAGTGCTGTGAAGCTGTCCGCAGCCTCTGCAGCACCGGTTCGATCCCAGCCAGCCGGCAAGGGTCCCACATGGCATGGCAGACCTCTCCTATCTCGCCCGCTGCTCCCCTCAGCAGTGTATTTCGTCAGTCTGCCTGTTCTGTTCCCCGCTCTGTCTCTGGTGAATCCTCTCACCCTCCCACTAATCTGGCCTGTACCCCGGTTCTTGTGTAAATAAATAAATAAAAATTTAAAAAAAAAAAAAAAGGCCCACAACCAGAAGCATTCACAGAAATAGAATAAAAATTTCTAAAATTGGCATGGAACAAATCCCTTTGGCTGAAAACCCAAAGGAATCCTGGAAAAGAACAAAGCTGGAGGCATCACACTTTCTGACTTTAAACTTTGCTACAAAGAGACATGGTTCTGGCATAAAAACAAACACATAGAGGGCCTCCCTGGTAGTGCAAGGGGTTAAGTCTCAGCACTATGAAGCTATAGGCAGCCACTGCGGCATGAGTTCAATCCCCAGCCAGCAACCCACATGGCCCAGAAGACCTCTTCTGTGTCACCTGCTGCTCCCTCAGCAGTGTATTTCAGTCAATCTGCCTGTTCTGTTCCCCACTCTGTCTCTCGTGAATCCTCTCAGCTCCCACACCTCTGGCCTAGACCCCAGCTCTTGTATGCATAAATAAATGAAACAAATCTTTAAAAAAAAAAACCAGACACATAGATCAATGGAATAGAATGCGAGCTCAGAAGTAAACGCATGCACATACAGTCAACTAATACCTGACAAGGGAGTCAAGAACACTTAATGGAGAAAGGTCATGGGTCAATAAATGGTGCTAGGGAACCTGGATATTCACATGCAGAAGAATGAAACTGGAGCTCTATACCACTCACAAAAATTTACTTGAAATGGATTATAGATTTAAACATAATATTCATTAAACTCCTAAAAGTTTAATGAACATCCTAAAAGATGAATAGGGAACAACTTCTTGTCACTGGTTGTGGCAATGATTTTCTGGATAGGATACCCAAAGCACAAGCAAAAAAACCAAAACTTAGTAAATGTGACATCAAATTAAAAAGTTTCTGCACAGCAAAGGAAATAACAAAATAGGCGACCTGTAGAATGGCAGAAAATCTTGCAAATCATGCCTGATAAGTGGTTTATATGCAAAGCAGATAAACTCAATAGCAAAAAAAAGAAAAAAAAAATCAGAAGAACTAAACAATTTTTCAAAAACATATACAAGTGGCCAATAGGTCCATTAAAAGATGTGTGATATCACTTATTGTCAAGGAGGTCAAACACAACCACAATGAGATATCACCTCACACTTGTTAGAATGGCTGTCATTCAGAAGATAAAAAATAACAAGGGTTGGTGAAAAAAAGGGAGACATGGGGCACTGCTGGTGAGAATGTAAACTGGGGCAGCCAATGTGGAAAACATTATAGAAGTTCTCAAGAAATTAAAAATAGATCTATAGTATGATCCAGCAATTCCACTTCTGGATATATATCCAAAGGAAAGGAAAATAGGATCTCAAAGAGGCATCTGCATCCCCGTCTCCACTGCAGCATTATTCATGACAGCGAAGCTAGAGAAACAACCTACGTGTCCATCATCCACCGGTAAATGAAAAGGAAGATGCAGCATCAATAATCAATTAGAAAGGAAAATGAAAAAAGTACGCAGGTAGAAAAAGTAATATAGCTTGAAAATGCCTAAGGATAACTCTAGCAATAAATATTCAGACTATACAAAAATAACAAAAGAAACCTTTTCCGAAAGACCAAAAGACCTAAATAAATACAAGGGGAAAAAATTAATTTTTCTGGCTCTAGAATATTTTTAAAAACTGTGAGTCTTCCTCCTATAAACTTAGTATAATCCCAATCAAAATCCCCACGGGACTTCACAAACTGATTCTAATGTTTATTTCAGAAAAAAAAGAGAAAAAATGAGCCAAGAGACTTAAAACAAAAGAGAAGAAAAGGGTCTTTGTTCCACCAGACAATAACTGAGTTCTGTGACTGAGCCATCATAACTTTAAAACACGTCACTGACTCAGGGATGGCCGACCAGATGGGCAGGTTGGCCTTGGTGAGAAGGGCTAAGGTTCCAGAATCACTGAGACATGTTATCACCTCACAGTATACCTTTTTTTGGAAACAAATTCCAAACAGATCCAGACCTAAATGTAAAAAGGCAAATCCACAGAAGTAACACATCACAAGACAGACAGTATTTCTATCTTTTTAGATGGCACAACTCTTCCCTATGCAAGATCACAAAAGCTCATAGGACACATGAAATGAATCTGACCACAGAAAATTTAAAATTTCTTCAAAGAATACACTATAGACTTGCAGTCCAAAACTGGAGTCCCACAAGGCCACCGTTGGCCTGTATTTTGGTCTACAGTTTCTTGTTATTGTTCATTTTTTAATGGAGTAAGTTGCCAACATTGAAAAATGGAGATATCTGGACATAATCCTCATCTCTATGCATAGTAACTGACTGTGGCCTAGAGGTAGCACCCTCTCTCCAGGGGCGGTGGCGCGGCATTCATGGATAACACCCCACTTACCCCTCTACTCACTCGACTGGCCTGGTGGCCTCAAGCTTTTCATTTTTGAATCTTATGATAAAATCAAGATGGGGTAAGGGCGAAAGACCTGAGAATTACCTAACAGACAAGGGAGTAATACTTATCTACATAAATAGAAATCCTAAAAATGATATGAAAAAACAAGCAATATTTTTTTAATTGGTGTAGTGCCAGGAAGGCACAGAGTTGGTTCTCTGTGATCTGAGTAGACAGGTGAAGGACAGTGCTGGAGCCCTCGGAGGCTTTTTCAGGGTTATAATGGGATTCTACCATGTACACGGCAGGCAGGGGTGCCGGTGGCCGGGAGGCTGGCAGGTCTCCCAGGCCGCTGCTAATCTTCACTCTTTCTGCGCTCTCTGGCACTCTACAAGTTTCCCTTGGCAAATATAAATACTGCATCCATGTCTCACAAGAGTAAACAATACAACTGAATATAACAATGTGACAAAATTTAGGTGCTGGCCATCAGGCATGCATGTAGGATGGCAGGGATCCATCATCAATTCTAATGGCGGGAGGGCAGAAAAGCCTGACAATCATTTACCCCACAATTGGCAAAAGCCATTTATAAATTACATACAAATGACCAATAAACATATGAAAAGAACAATCTCTCTGTCCACCAGACAAATTCACACCAGCATTTTTGCCACTAAATTGGTAAAAACAAAAAAATGGCAATAATGGGTCTTATCTTCGCAAGAGTATCAGGAACTGGACTTGCTCACACACTGCTGGCAGGGGGCCAATTTAGAAATTTTTTTTTGATGGGTGATTTGGCAGGAGGTTATACTAAATTGTACAATGTACACACAAATATTTTGCTCTACCTGCCCAGGGAGTCCAGGAATTTGCCATATAAAGCAAACGCACACGTGCCTCATAAGCTAGGCACATATGTACCAAGAAGTTCCACACAGCACTGTTTATAATGGCAAATGGAGAAACCTGAATGAATAAGGGAGGGGCTAATTATACTATGGTACATCCACAGGCTGAAATACCACGCAGTCATTCACAAGACTTACCTGGATCTACATTTGTGGGTAAAAAACCTCAGAGTAGAAATATCAAGGGCCATAATAACCACCACATCCTAATCAATGTTAAGAGTAAAAATACAAGTTGTGTATACACCCCCACAAGGAGATGCATAGAGTTTCCCCTACCAACATGCTATTATTTATATTAATATAGTTATACTTTTTAAATTATATGTGTTTGTAAATTTGTAATATAGAACATGTCCAGACCTTTTTTACTCTAGTTTTTTCATGTCATTTATAATTTGTCTAAGAAGCATGTGCTCATGTATTACTATTTAAAAAAAAAAAAGATTTTTTAAAAAAAAATCTAAGGGAAAGGGGAAAATAATCAAGGATCTGTGAGCAAAGAATAGAATTCTGTGAGGTGTCACATTAGCATCGTGGAGCTAAAGCTGGCATGTCCGGCACCAACAACACAGCAGGAGACACGTGTACAGATCTGGGGGACAAATGTGTGGCCTTCCCCTCTCTTCATAGCCAGAATGCTCCTTTGCAGCATTAATGAACCTTCTTAGAATTTACTAAAAGTGGATGGAAATATGCTTAAAGTGGTACTTCTTATACCAAACTTTAAATATGGCATCATTTCAATGGTGTCAATAATGCATTAAAACAGGGCCAATCTGTAGACAGAACTATCTCTAAGACATAGTAGAAGTGATGTCCTCTATTTCTTCTATTTCTTCATTCTCTTCATTTCTCTATAACAACTATATTCTAACATCCTGGGGGTGTAGGGCGGGGGGGACACTTTCCAAAAATGGATTTGATATTATAGTAGAAATGAAGCCAGTATTTCCCCTTCTCATCTTGGGGGCCCTAGGGTCAAGTCAATATGTGTGGTGGCCTCCCCATTCCCATTAAGATGTTCTTTGCTTGGTATGTGTTTGTTTTTATTGGCGTGACATTGCTTTATAACACATGCGATGTTCAGGTGTTCATCGCTGACAGTCAACATTAAGTTCACACTAAAAGTCCAGTTCTACCCTTCACCAACCACACCACTGTCCCCTCTATCCCTATTTACCCCCCCCAAAACGTTCTTTGTGTGGAGGTAAGTCCCCCACTCTGGGTCCTCATTACAGTGCAATGTGGGGCTCAAGATGGATGCATGTGGACCAGAAGGAGCACTTGTTCTTTCTTGGTTACAAGGTTCCTGTCCCTACTTCTGAAGAGCTCTGGGTCACCTGGGCCTGCGGCCACTATTCCATCCCACCCCTTCCGTGTCTGTTCTTCAATCCTGATCCTACAACCTACGCCCTCCTTTTCCTTTCATAAAGTCACCTACATTCATGAGAGGGTTGGGGGTGACTTGCAGGGTGGGAAGGAGCAAGGCTGGAGTGGATAGAGATGTGCTGATTCTGTTGGTGGTCACTGCCAGGCTCAAGCGAGGGTCAAAGACATCACTGTCTGGGAAAGAAGTAAGAGGGAAGTGAGAGGACGTGAAATTATACAACTCATAACAGTGTAGCAACTATCTGCTGATCACAGACCTCCACCCCAGAGCAGAAAACTTCAAGGCGCTAATACAAGAAAACCGCACAAAGTCAGCCACACAGGTTACTGCTGGGGGCTTCTGGCTCGGATCCTAAAAAAATGAAACTGGTGAAAATAAAAGCAAAATTCAAGATGAGTTTTCTTTTAAATTACCCTTGGGGGAACCCACCAACTCTTTACTGGGATGGAGGCTAAGAAAGCAGTTTGTGGAAAGGGGCAAAAATCTCAGCTAGTTGGGTGGGGCTGGTCTTTTCACAGAAAGTTCTGGGTTCTTTGGGAACTCGCCAGGGTCAAGGCCACATCCCTCCTGTAGAGGCGAATGAATGAATGAATGAATGAATGAATGAAGAGGTGAATGGAGGCCACGGAGCGGTACTCCACAGGTACTTACCTCTTCTGGTTCATGGACGCCACCTGGAGCCACTCATTGGTGCTGGGGTTGTAGGAATGGGCCGCTGAGATCTCCTGGCTGGTGATCCTGTACCCGCCCACGATGAAGAGGTAGTTGTCCAGGATGGCCGACCCATAGCCCCGGACATTCACCAGATCCGGGGGCAGGTTGTTGGCCAGAGGGAACCACCGCTCCGTCCTCTCCTCGTATCTGAGCATGGACGGGGGCTCCCCTTGGTAAGGGTGTGGGGCCAGGGGCCCACCCAGGAAGTCTCCCAGGGCCACCAGCACGGGCGTCCCACTCAGCCGGTCCTCCCGCAGCCTCTGCTTCAGACTGAGCTCGCCCAGCAGGTGGAAGTGGGGCTTGCACAGCACCTCGTGGAAGTGCACGACCATGAAACGCCGGCAGGCCTCCTGCAGGTCGGGCAGCCCGTACACCTGCGCCAGGCGGTAGAGCTCCAGGCAGTTGGACAGGCGCACCTGGGACAGCAGCAGCCGCAGTAGGGACGTGACCTGCAGGAAGGAGGCCGCCTCCACCAGCTCGGACAGCAGGCCGCCCTCATCCAGCTCCTCGGGCTCCTCTGGCGCCCCGGCGCCCTTCTCGCGCGGCCGGCCCAGCAGCCAGCCCTCGCGGGCGCCGCCGGCATTGATGAAGTCGAGCACCAGGCGCAGGCCCGGGGCGCTGAGGCCGCGCAGCTGCTGCACCTCCGGGCCGCCGGCCTCGGGCCGCCGCGCCTCGCGCATGCCGGAGCGGTAGAGCGCGCGGAAGTAGTCGCTCTGCTCGATCAGCTTCCTCTTGCTCACCGGGTAGCAGCGGTCCTCCAGGCGGATCTGCACCATCTCTTCGGCCGACATGGCTGGGGGCCCGGCGGCGGCGGCGGAGGGGCCCGCCAGCGCAGCGCCGGGAGGGGGCGGCGGCCCCGGCCTCCCGGCGGGGCGGGCTCCGTCGCTCGGCTCAGCGCCCGGGCTCCCCGCCGCGCCCCGCTCGGGCCACCGGCTCCAGACTGACGCCCGCGGACCCCGCGCCTGGCAGGGCCCACCCCCGCGCGCCCGCCCGGCCCGGCCTCCCAGCGGCGCCCCGCGCAGAGAGCGCCCCGGCGGGCGCGGCGATCGCGTGCCCGGGCGGGGCGCACGGCCCGGCCTCCTTCCCGCTCAAGGTCCGGGAACCATCTTGCAGATGGCGAGCAGGGCCGCTGGCCCCGGCGGAAAGGGCTGGCGAGCAGGGCCGCCGCGTGGCGTCAGCCTCCCGGCCCCCTGGTGTGGCCTTATTAGAAGAAAGGCGCACTCCACGCCGGCGCCATCACGCGCCTCCTCGCCAGCGCAGCCTCGGGCCAGGCCCTCCCGGTGTCGGGGTGCGGGGCTCGCCGGATGGGACTGTCGCCCTGCCTGTAGAGGGGGCTCTGCTGGCCACCCTCCTTCCCAGCCTGCCGCCTCCCGCCCGGAGGGCAAGCGCGGGATTCTGGAAGGCCTGCTTCCTGCCGGTCTTCTCTCTGAACAGGGGCAAGAGGAAGACCGAACCCAAAAGGAAGAGGGTCTCTGGGTGGTTTAGGAGAATTGACTCCATCCCAGAAAGGTTATGGGGACTCTGCAAGGTTAGCTTTGGATAGAAGTGGTTGAGGATTCCAGGGCGCACAGGGTATGGACGTCCACTCTTAAAAGAAAACCTCAAGACTTTCCTAGGCCAAGATGCCAGAACCAACCAAAACAGTCTTCAACTTGAGGACAATGTGTGTTTGGACGTTTTTAAAATTTTTTACAAACTTCGGTTTTCTTTAATGACAACTTGTTAGATAATACTGTCTTCATAGGTACAAATCCCTATTTCAGACGGGAGATCCCGCCTACAACTCCGATGTACATTTTTTTTTGTTAGGAAGGGCGGGGAAAGCCAGAAAGTTTTATTGGTAAAAACTTGAAATCCTCTCAATGCTTTGTTTGCTGACTATGTGATGTGACAGCTGCTTCATACTGAGATATGCCATCCATTATTTTTCTCCATAATATACCTTGAATAAGGAAATAAAATTTAAAGATCAGATGGCCAGCCAGGAGGTAGCAGCTCCTGGTCTCTCTTCAGCCCTTTTAGAAACTTTCTACCAATCAGCTGGTTATAGATAGGACTCAGGCTGCTATTTTCTGGCCTTTTAAAAGAAATCACACTTAAAAAATGATGCCTTAGGAAGCTAGTTCACACACAGGAACATTACCAGAACATGATCAGCGTGGGCAGGGAATCTAGAGTCTGACTCCATTGGGTACCAATCCTGTAAGTTTTTTGGCCCTTGACATGCTATTAATGTCATTTAGGACTGGAAGTATCTTAAAAGATCAAATCATCTTAACGCACACAGTAAGTTTTCTGTTAAGCTCAAAATGCAAAGTCAAAACAATATATATAAACTCCTCTGCTTATAAAAAACTGAAAGATTACTTCTAAGGCTTATGAAAATATGACTTATCTAACTAGAGATATACTTTGACACATCTGTTAAGGCCCATCCTTAAATAGCAAGTGGCCATGGTGGTAACTGATTCACTTTAAGCACTTTATGTCATGATCTGTTTTACAAGACTCAAGTCAAACGTAGAATGAGGCTATTTTAGAATTTATAGAAAATATACCTTTTGACCTATAGTGGAGAAAAATCTAAGCCCAAGATGTTTACCATAGTCTGGCTTTTAATAATAAAAAACTGGAAAACATAATGTTAAAGAACAACAGTGCTTAATAAATAGTGAAAATTTAATGAATATTTATTATATGACGAGCACTGTTAAAAATGTTTTACAATATGGGCCTCCCCGGTGGCGCAGCGGTTGAGCGCTGGGTTGCGAAGCTGCCCGCAGCCTCTGCAGCGCCTGTTCGATCCCCGGCTGCTGCCGGGCCACCGGAGGAGGGTCCCACATGGCATGGAAGACCTCTCCTGCCGCCCGCTGCTCCCCTCAGCAGTGTACTTCAGTCTGCCTGCTCTGCTTCCCACTCTGGCTCTGGTGAATTCTCTCACCCTCCCGTGCTTCTGACTGTGCCCTGTGCTTGTATAAATAAATAAATCTTAAAAAAAAAAAAGCTTTAAAAAATGTTTTACAATACTATTTTAATACTATTAACAGCTGAGGAAGCTGAGGGATAGAGTAACTCTGTTTTGGTAGATGTGTAGAATGAAATAGAAAGCCAATACAACTTTGGATGTAAATCTTTAGAGGCAATGAAAAATATAATTTTACATGGGATTTTTAAAAATCAGGTGTGAGTCCATTTATGTAATATCGCATACACACCTATTTTTTTACAGAAGTATCTCAAAAGATGTTTACCAAAACATTGACATGGTAAGATCTTGAGTAGTTTTTTCTTTTTTGTACTTTTCTACATGGTTTGAATTATTTTTAAGGTCGGGCCTATCATTTTAATAAATGTAAAATATTTTTAGAAAAAAATCACGACCTTGGGCCTCCCCGGTGGCGCAGCGGTTGAGCGCTGGGTTGCGAAGCTGCCCGCAGCCTCTGCAGCACAGGTTTGATCCCCGGCTGCTCCCCGGCCACCAGAGGAGGGTCCCACATGGCACGCAGACCTCTCCTGCCGCCCACTGCTCCCCACAGCAGTGTACTTCGGTCCTTCTGCCTGCTCTGCTCCCTGCTCTGCCTCTGGTGAATCCTCTCACCTTCTTGCGCTTCTGACTGTACCCAGTGCTTGTGTAAATAAATAAAATAAACCTTAAAAAAAAAAAGTTTTATTAAAAAAAAAGAAAAAATCACGACCTTTAAATTTCTCAGGTCTCATTTTAAAAAACAATTTCCATCCATTTCATCAAGTGATGAAATTAAAATGTTAACTAAATAAGACAATAAACATCTTTAAAATAAGGATGAAATAGTGGATGTTTTTCAAACAATGGGAGTAAATCTATGCTATTATTTTACTTCTGCTTAAAAGTGTATTTTTCAGTCACTCCAGTATTCCTAGAACTTACTTTTTGTTTAACATTCAAAAAAAATGTAATAACTACCTTTTATTAAGCACATAGAGCCACTGAAACGAGTAAAGCTGCACAGGTATTACCTGCCTCTGTTGACTTGGTTGAGCATCTTCATGTTGGTAAAACTTCCATTTATCCCAGTCACCTTCATCAGTGTTTCTAAACATCTTAGGATACTTCTAAAAATAAGAATTTTGGTTCCCACACCAGAGCTCCTACATCCAGCTCTTGGGGGGAGATAAGTGGTTCTAAGGTCTGGATCCAATTTTTGAACGCTTCTTAAGAGCATCCAGTTGGAGTAGCCCTGCACTGTAATCCTGTCATAGTTTGACAGAATTTATTTAAAGACTATGGAGCCATTTTTTCTTGAGCGTTGCAGTGGTTTCCTGGCTTCTGCGGTTTCATCTCCATGGACATGGAAAGTTCTGGGTCACGTATCTCCCTGAAGCCCTGCAAAATACCTGGCTTCAACGGGTTTATCTGTTTCCAGACTCGGTGTTTGTGCCATCACCAAAACAATCGCTTTAAAGTTATTCAAATATGCTTTCAAGTCAGAATGCAGAGATTCTTGAAAATGCAACTCTGATCTGGACTTGAACACCATTTGATGGTAAAAGGATTAAACAATTGTGGATTGTTCCATTTTCCCTGCAGGAAACATGAGAACTGCAAGAAATTATAGATCACACAAAAGAAACTACATTTAATGTGACTGAAAGACGGGAGGTTACAAGGTTAGAAAGCAGACTTTCCAGTTTATGTTCCCAGGGCATGAGCTAATCAAAATATCTGGGGAAATCTCAGGAGGAAAGGCACTCATCTGTCTCTCCCTTTGCCATTAGAGAAGCTCCTTTCCCTCTCCCCTCCAACCAGATGGGATGCTCTTATTGTTAATAGGTAAGAAACTCTGAAACTTGCTTTTTATGAGAAGTATATTAGAATAAAATATTTATCATTTTTAGTATATTTCATAAGGCTTCTGCAAGGTTGGGAGTTAGTCCATGATATAATCTAGCTCGGAAGAAAATGAGCTGTTTTTGTTGCTAACATCATTCAGAGGAATATTTTCTTCTTTATTATCAATTAGTAATATTACCTGTTTCTAAATATCCAAAAACATGTGATAACTAGGCTATTATTAGGAAACAGGTGGTGAGATGGAAGCTCAAAGAATGTTCACATTTTTGTGACAAGTGAAGGAGTCGTGACAGCAAAAAATTCATAAAAGAAACATCACAAGATAGAAAAGGTGGCTTTTTTCCCCCCAAAAAAGAGCAATATAGTACTTTATGCCAAGTTAGTTATCACTAAATCTGTATAGAATGGATACCAATGAAAGCAACAGTTGTCACAAGAGGCCATTTGCACTGACTTTAATATCTTTTCATGTTTGGGCATTCTAACTGAAGTAATTTTACTAATATTTAAAAATTTAAAACCACCTTATCATTAACTGATGCACACTTTTTAGCAATTTTTTCTGCTCCAACCAGAGATACTATATCTGCCTTTATGTATGTTTTTCCAAGAAGTTTCCTCTTTATAATTTGCAAACAAGAATATCAGGACAGAGAGCAAACAGCCCCAGCTTGAATTTCTTCATGATTTTCATTGTAAATCACACTTTTTTATTCTTGATTGAACCATAAACACCTCCATGGGTGTTGAAGACTATCTACCTTATGACAATGTTCTTTAATCTTCTCTGAAGAAAGTTTGTGGCTGGCCTTTGCAAAAAAAATGCCTGGCCCCAAGAAGTGACCAGGATCCATAGTAATGTTTTTGAAATCACTGTCAAATTAAAATTCTAAGTTATTATTTCATTTTGAGCTTTCATTTATTTTCAAGATTTTTTTTTTTAGTAAAACCAAAAAACTTAACCCTAGGCCCAAGCTGATTTTCCAGTGAACCTGAATACGAGAACGCCGATTCAAAGGAGAAATAAAAAAGATGACTGAAAAAAATCTGCAGTCACAAGTTCCTTAAGGTCATACAGAAGTGTCTGGACAAAACTATGTCTTGTTTCTGGTGAAATGAATCCTTCCTTTATCCAGCATCAAGTGACTGAACTATTGTTCCCCCAGAAAGACTGGGGACTACCATTTCCACTTGTCTTTATATTTCCTTAGTAAAAGGTGTCCGTGACTATTCACTGTCAGAGAAAGAAAAGAAGCAAAGGAGTGAACCATATCTTCGAGAGGCTAAGGGACAGAGAGGACTGCAATGACCTGGAAAGAGGTAATGCCCCATATTCACCTGAGGCTGGACTGGAAAGAAACAAAAGACGAATGACCATACAGTCAAACACCGGCCTCATTTCTCTAACAGTGACCCTCTGGAAGAGTCCCAAAGCAGCTCTCCTGAGCCACAGCTCCGTGTTCCAGACTCCTCCTAAGCCCTGATGGTCAGCCCAGCTTCCATCTGGGGAGCACAGCCTTGCTGAGTCCTCACACCAGGGAGATGCACACTGCAGCAGCGGCGGCAGTGGATGTGCTGCTGCTCCTGAGCATGGGGTATGTCTCAGATGCTCTCTGCTCACCCACCATATTTTATAGAAACTGCTGGATCCGGCGCTTCCCAGGTCTTCTTGTTGACCTGGAAGAGTCTCAGAAGCTGGGAGCCCAGTTCTTAAAGTATTACAGTGAAAACACTGGCCAGAAGTGCAGTCGGAGCTGCTGCCTGAGGAAAGATGGTAAGTCTCCCCTATGTGCTGAGCAAACCACAGGGGGCTTCAGAATGACTACTTAAGTCAGCCACCCCCAGCAGGGGCCTAGGCCTAGGAAAGGCCTAGGGAGATGCCCTGGGATGAGGGAGAGAGGCTAAGACAGAGACTGTCAGGCAGCTGGGTTCACAAACCCAGCAATGACCCAGCTGTGGTGCCTCTGGGTCCCAGACGCTCTCCTTTCTTCACGGAAGTGCGAAATGAAAATCTTTCCTTTGGGGTTAACTAACAGTGTTTCTAGAGCCCAAATAGGGCATATTTGATTTCAAACATATTTATAAATAATTTTCCTCTCAAAGCCCTTTTGGTGAGATTGGTATTTCAAATTTTTGAAATGTGGTTGCTTGGGTTGATGAGATGTGGGGATATATTGAATAGGAATTTAGATTGTGATTCATGCTTGTCAAATTTGAGGAAGGAATTAATTTTCAACATATTCTAACAGATTGTTTTTGTCTGAAATCAGGGCTAATTATCATCTGTTTAATATGATCCAGGCCTATAATTTAGGAAAATATTTCATTGTTGCCCAATTTTGACAGCTATCGTTAGTGTATTTTTCATTTTTCTAAGATTTTCAAGCTACCTGGAAGGAAACAATGAAAGCTGAGTTCATATTTCTGGTTATTTTTTTTTTTTTTTTAATAAATTTTATTGTTATATTCCCCATACAATTGCAGCCCCCCATTCTGACCCCAATCCCTCCCCTGCTTGGTTCATAGTTTTTTGTTGAGTTATTCATTTTCCTGGGTTTTCTAGATTCCTGCTATGAGTGAGACCATCCGGTATTTTTCTTTTTCTTTTTGGCTTATTTCGCTGAGCATGATCCCTTCCAGCGCCATCCATGTTGCTGCAAATTGCATGTGTTTATCTTTTTTGAATGCTGAGTAATATTCCATGGTATATATGTACCACATCTTCTTGATCCAGTCATCTATTTTTGGGCATTTGGGTTGTTTCCAAAGCTTAGCTATTGTAAACAGTGCTGCTATAAACATAGGGGTGCAGGTGTTCTTTGGAATTGATGTTTCTGTGTCCTTTGGGTAAATACCTAGGAGTGGAATTGCTGGATCATATGGAAGCTCTATGTTTAGTAGGTCCAGAAATCTCCATACAGGAAAGCGAGATGTTTTAAAGTAACCCTCCACCCCCTTATCCCCGACCTTGGGGCTCCCTGGTGGCATAGGGGTTAAGGGTTAATTCTCCAAGCCACTATCACCACTGTGGCCTGAGTTCAATCCCAGGCCAGGGAGCTAACCCACATATGGCACAGCAGACTTCTATCTCACCCAATCCCAAAGATATTATGCACATCCAGTAGGACTTTCTGATTGTGAAGACTCCATGGCTTCCAAGGTGCAGCCTTCTTCCTCCAGAACAAGAAAGGGTGTGCACGCACATGTTTCTAGCCAGAAACCACATCTTAAACATGCCCGACTCCTGCACTAGCACACCTGCGCAGCCGGTCCTCTGCAGTGTGCAGGACTGTGAGCCAGGACTGAAACTGTTCTCCACGGCATCAACTGCTTTCCTATGAGAAACAGGGATGTGTAAACTTGAATCTGCCCAATTCCTTTCCTTTACACCTGAGGGCACAGTCCTTGGGAATATGTGTCATCTGTGATGTACTGGTGATGTATTATTATTTGCACAATTATTTCAGCAGGCGCAGAAACATGGGGTGCCCCAGAAGGAATGGGAGAAGTAGGGTTTGTGCAGTTGAGCTGGCACAGAAACAGTATGGGTCTGACCTCCACCATTCCTCGGCATCTTTAGCTGTGCTCTGAGGTCTGGTATCATGTGCTGTCCAGCTGTAATCGTATTTTATTAAAGAACTTGAGAGGTTTTGGCCAGTGGACAGTCCCTGTCATATGGCTCCTCCTGTGATACCACAGTGGGGAATAGACTGAACATTTGCACTCAACAAATCTGCCCCAGCTCCCCAGAAATAACGTGATGTGTTTTAAAGAGCAAGCTGACTTAGGAAGAGGGAGACAGCACAAGCGTTATGCCCCTCCCCTCTAGAATTCCAGGCCCAGCACCCTGTCTGTCTGCTCCTTCTCTTTGATGGACCCCAATGAAACATGTCACTGGATGTGAGTGTGCGACCAACCAGAGGCCAGTGTGCACCTGGGTCAGGTACTACTCACCTGGCCTTCCCCCCATCAAGGAACAAGGCAGTCGCTCGTGGTTCCCCTTCCCCATGACTCTCTTGCTGTCCTTAGTCTCTCCATTTCCCCTTTTCTTTCTCGGGTGCACTCCTGCCAGGGCACCACACCTGGAAATTTGATAGAGCTGTAAATCCCCTGTGGGTCTTGTAGCCCACTGAATTTTATCACTTAGAGAAAATCAGCAGATATTTTCCATAAAAGGGCATTTTCTGTATTCACAGAAATAGCTGACATGGCTCCTAATGTTCTGGACTGTGCGTGAACCCCACATTTGTGGCAGGGTGCGGGTGGGCTGGGGCCACAGCCAACGTGCTGTGCCTGTCTCTCCAGTTTCCTGTAACTTGGCTGTCTTCTACCACGACCCCGTCCACGACAGCGCCAACTGCCTGCACGTCCATTGCCCCGCACTGGAGAGCTGCGTCCTGGCCCCCACCACCGGAGCTGTCCTCTACAATATCACTGACGGTAACCTTTTCTTTATTTCAGTAGTGGTTGGCAAGCATCATATCTGAACCCCCAAATCATTTTCTAGGGAACCTTATCTGGAAAAGTTGGGGGCATCCAGGGCAGCAAATTAAGAAGGGAAGTTCCCTTACTTTAGCAGGTGCAGCCAGGACAAGACCATCCCAGACAATGGCAGTTCCTATGTGACTAAATGTGCAAGGGAACACTCATCTCCTTAATCCCAGAAACCCTCAGCAAGAGCCCAAATGGAGTCTCTGGGTTCCCCACAGTGGCTGTGATGCCACTAGGAGTTGAAGAATGTGGAGGCGGCAGCTGTGAGGCTAATCAGCATCTCACCAGGACAGAGCAGGGACGGGGCCACATACCCCTCCTGCTCATGCCCACTAGCAGATCCTCTGTCCCTAGATGACCAGCATATGTTAATTTAGAAAACCACATCAGCCCTTGGTCCCTCTGTTCTTTTTTGATCCCAGGGCCTTAGAATCTAGTCAATGTGACAAGTCTTAGGTAGTGGATCATGTAGAATTAATGCAAAATGCATTTAAATGCAAAAAATATGTGATTCCGCCTCACTAGACAGGCTCAAAAGCAGCAGAGATTCAAGCCAGCTAAATGATGTGGGTGGGGCTCCAGGGCCAGGACAGGCGGGCAGGGGCAAGACAGGGCTTCCACATCCCACTGGAAGGAGGACAGGGACTGGCCTGGTGGGCTGAGGGTGGGTAATAAAAGGGTTCCGGCAGAGTGGAGATTTAGCTTGCTCTGTCAGAAATAAGGAACCAGCCAATGGAACTGAATGACAAAATGCCAGCATTAAAGTGACATGGGCAGATATCTAGGGAAATTCTGGAGCAGTTTCCTCCCCTAGTTGGGGAGGCACTGTATCCAGACAAAGTCAAGAGGAGGGTGATTACCAACCAGCACCCTGGGAACTAACTCTCAGGACTGACTTACCGGATGAAGGCAGAGGACAGGGGGTTGCAATCACTCTGCAGTGCAGAGTCTAGCCTGCATGAGGAAGAATGGAAGAGGCAGACATTAATGTTGGCTTTGGGGATGCTTGGGATGATGTGAGACATCTCGGTGGAAATCTCCAGCAGAACACAGGAGAAATCAGACCAGAGTTCCAAAAAGGGAAAAAAGCCGATGTGGTTTTTACTGCCAGCAGTGGCATGGTGACAATTGATGGTCGCAGGGATGTGAGATGAAGAGAAAATACAGCAAACCAAGGACTAAAGACTAGAAACTGCTCAACCAGAATACTGCTAAAAAGCAAGCAGTATTTATAAATATCGTAAGTCTGAGGGAAAGGACTTAAGACTAAGGACCCTCAGGGACTAGAAAGAGATTTAGGGCTTCACTCAGGATTTTGAGTATAGTCATACTTTTCAAATCCTATTACTTAACTATATTTTAAAACACTACGTATCTCAATGGTTATTCTTTTTTTTTTTAAGATTTATTCATTTATTTATACAAGCACTGGGTACAGTCAGAAGCGCTGGAAAGTGAGAGAATTCACCAGAGCCAGAGCAGGGAACAGAACAGGCAGACAGATGAAATACACTGCTGAGGGGAGCAGCGGGCGTGGCAGGAGAGGTCTGTGTGCCACGTGGACCCTTGCCGGTGGCCGGGGATTGAACCAGCGCTGCAAAGGCTGCAGCCCAGCGCTCAACCGTTGCGCCACCAGGGGAGGCCCTCAATGGTTATTATTTCTGCACCTCTTGTACTAACTTTGTATTATTGCTCCGAAGCCCTGGCAGACACAAAGTACTCTCCCTGATGTGGCCAAACTTGTTCATAACCGAAAGTGCCCTAGAAAGTTAAGATAAATTCAAGTGCAGTCAGCATGTTCCAAGGTCTTTCAGAAGCCTGTAATGGCAGAACTCAGGCTTCTCCAAGCTGTACTTTATGGTCCTCTCTTAAATTAAAAATAACATGAATGCTGCCTTATTTCTTTTTCAGGTTTAGATCCAGATTTGCTGGTTTTTGAACAATTACCTCCTACCTATCTAAATACCCGTTCTTCATCTAACAAATGGGACAGAGTAAGGATTCTAAAAGCTGTGAATTTAGGAAAACAACCAACCAACATAATCAGTCAAATGCTACCATCAATAGAAACTCCGCCATCAACCACGTATCATCTGATGACAAACACCAACAATACCAGGTCTTCCAAAGAACTGCCCACAGATTCTTGGGTAAGATTCATTTCCTTGAAGGATTCCATCCCAACTGAGGTAAATGCAGAGTCCCCCAGTACTGATCCCATCAACAATCCAGATAACAAGACTATTTCTCCATTTGTGCCCATAGACACAAAACTTTCTCATATGCCTATTCCAGCTAGACTCAATAGTAGCCAGCAGTCACCGAACAAAACCAAAGGGCACAATGGCAGGAACCGCACATCTCAGGGCGATGATGCCATGCCTGAGGGCACCCCTGGGGATTGGATATTGTGGCTGGCTCCTGTGTCCCTTTGCAGCTCCATCATGATTCTCAGCTGCTGTGTAGTCATCCTGAAGTGGGGATGCTGTTGAAAGCAGCAGGGCCAGTATAAACCAGGACAGAGAAGGTAAGGATCCAGGCAAATTAAAACTTGTTAACACTCTGAAGGAGAACTCTTAATAATAAAAGCTGAAAAGAGAGTGTAAGTTTTCAAGAGTCTTGCTTTTAGTTTTCTGTAAGAAAGGTCAGTTTGGTTAAAAAAATAATTGCACAGGATGCCCGTTCCTGCCAACCTCTAAAAGAGAAAGGGGCATGCTTGATAACCATAACTGCTTTTTTGATTATTTCCATTTTTTTAGTAATGAACCCTTACTTGCCAAAGTTACAAAATTCTGACCCCATAGTTATTTAGCACCAAATGAGAGATTATAGTTAGTTCTTTACATAAATATTAACTCATTGGATTCTTACAACTCTGTACATTAGGTTTGTTATTATTAACCATTATTACATCTTACAGATGAGAAAACTGAGTGTCGAAGCCTGAAGTCACCGAGCTAGTAAGTAGTAGAGCCAGGACTTAACAGGCAAACTGGTTTGAAATCCATGCATGAGATCAGTTAGTCTAGAAAACTCCATTCTCTCAAATAAGCAAGGAGAAGGGAGAAAAAGAGCAGGTTTCTCTCCATTCAAGGTCAAATTAATGCCACTAATAGTAACACAATCTTTCCGTGGATTGAGCAGGAGAACACTATTATTACCATTACTAACCCACAAGCAAATGCTTCCTGGTTTTACTCAGTTTTCAATGTGCGACTTATTAGTCCTTCTCAATCCTATTCCAGCATCTCCATTTTTTAAAGCTCACATGTCTTTCAATTATTACAGCTGTGAAAGCTTTGAATTGTGTGTTGTTTCTGTTGAATAAAGTTTGGGCGTTTTAGTTTATAGCCACCCTTGTCTACACTGTTCACTACTGTACATTATTAGCTCTAAGTATTATAGCTTTGTCCACACCTTATACCAACTTAGCCCCTAAATCTTACACTCTTAAGTGTGCAAAACTGTAATCTCTAATGATCTTGAATGTCAGACCTTTCATCTCCTCCCCTGGCAGGGAGAGTATGGAGCAAGGTGGGGGAGAGGTGGAGGAGAAAGGAAGGAGGAAATAGGAGGGAGAAAGGCGGAAGAAAGAGAAGTGGGAATAAAATTCATTTTCATTTATATTAAAAAATAGCAAATAAGCATTAAGAATGAGTAGCAATTGTTCCTCAAATGTTAAAACAAATTGGCCAGTGGCTTGAGAGATTTTTTGTTTTCTTTCTCTAATGTTTTTACTGCAAGGAAGAGAATGTCTTCTTTTTTTAATATGAGAGAAAGAAATATACAGATTGTACAGATTTTGTACAAAATACACAAAATCTGTTTCAGTAAAATAAAAGCGTGAATTAAAAATTGAATCAACTGACTTTTTTTTTAATAGAGGCATGTTTTATTTATTTATTTGTTTGTTTGTTTGTTTTGTTTATACAAGCACTGGGTACAGTCAGAAGCGCGGGAGGGTGAGAGAATTCACCAGAGCCAGAGCAGGGAGCAGAGCAGGCAGAAGGACCGAAGTACACTGCTGAGGGGAGCAGCGGGCGGCAGGAGAGGTCTGCACGCCATGTGGGACCCTCCTCCAGTGGCCGGGGAGCAGCCGGGGATCAAACTGGCGCTGCAGAGGCTGCGGGCAGCTTCACAACCCAGCGCTCAACCGCTGCGCCACTGGGGAGGCCCTCAACTGACTTTTACATGCTATTCATAAGTATCATAAATTTTATCAATCTTTCTTGATACATTATGGAGGGAAAACATGCTGCTTAAGAAGGATTTCACAATTTAAATTATCTTAAAATTATATGTAAATAAATTCAAGTTGTCTTTAAAAATTGAGTTTCCATGGCCCTCTGAATTTATTTTCTTTAATATATATACATATATATACACACACACATATACATATACATATATATGTAAAATTGTTTAAAGATTTCCCAACAATAACTAGAGTTGATAGGAGGGGGGGGGGGAAAGGTTTCTCTCCCTTTGTTTTTCTCATAATTTTACTCACTCTCTAAAACTGAGATTAGTTTATAGAAAAGACCATAATTTGGAAAAATCATATTTGGTATGAAAACAAACTCTACTCTTGTCCAGACTCTACCTTTGATCATCAGATAAGGTAAGTAAACTCAGACTGGAGAGGTCACCAGACCGGAGTCACCAATTATTGCTAAACCGATGGCCTAGAAACCATGTCCTTCCTGGGAGTCAGCAGAGCCATAGAGGAGTCCTAAGTGAATATAGAGATTTCTTAAAAAACAAAGATATGAGGGCCAGACAACAACTAAGGCTAAGGAGGTTATACTCATTTGCTTAATAGTCAGGATACTGAAATCTTTCCAACACTGTAACTAGCCAGACTTCTTATGAAAAGTCTATAATGATCCAGTATTCTGAAATGCTCATCAAAACTGGAAATATACAAAGAACTATTAAAGGATCCTACAATTAAGAAAACATACTGTAACAGGGTGGTCCCCAGGAAAAGGGGAGGTTCCAGTTTCCCTGCTCCAGCCAAGGAAGGGTGGAGGTGAGCAGGGAAGAAGCTGGAGAGGAGACTGGGGAAGGAAGGAAGCAGGATGGGGAGCAAGAAGGAGACCTGGAGGAGGCACATGGAGCAGAGAGATGTGTGAAGACGCTGCACTTGCTTTGTGGTCCTGGACTGGGTGAAAACAGATATGGGTAAAAGACCTGTGGGGAGGCTAACAATGGCAGCTCTTACCTTGATTTTGATTTTGCTCTTTTCCTCCCAGACTTGTCTGGCTTTTTCTGACCCTTTCTATGTGTCCCTGCTGAAAAGTACTTTAGACTTGTGGCAGGCTTTCAGGCCTTGCTTTGGGCCAACCCCGTTTGGGTGGACTTTTACCCACAAAGGGATGGGTAACTTTGGGTGCTTGATTTGGAAACTATATTCTTTGTCTTTTCTGTTTTACACACTAATTGTATTAAAGTTCCTTTCCATTAAAGGTCTGTATGTTTTGTCTTGATGTGGTAGATGGCAGAATCTGTTTAGAGCAGGCAGGTTTAGGGATTCTGGGCTGCCCCTCTCCCTGCCCACCTTGTTACAATACCTGTTCTATTTCTTAGTTGCCTACTTGTTCAAGAGCAACTTCTGATCTAAACAACAATAGTTAGAAGTTAGAAGTGACTAAATATCAACATAGCAAAGTCTGTACTAGCCTAGAACCCTCAATATAAGGACAAATATGATACTGTTCATCACATGTACTAGATCAATGAATAGTTTAAAGGACTATTAAAGGATCTAACTAATGACGAAGAGTGCTGTTTAACTATTGCTAAAATGACAATGACAACAACAATGGTTATCCTTTTGAGATACTTTCATATTCAACTCACAAGTCTAAGATTTTACCATTAGAAGTCGAAGCTGTAGCAAGTGAAGAGACCTCAAGTCAGATGCCCCATTAGCTGAATGGTGCAAGACAGAGGGCACAGTCATCTACAAAACCACCCTCACTTCAGCACCAAATGTAAATGTGAAACCATCAGCTCAGTCCTTCACTAGAATTCCCAGAACTCAATGAAAGCTATCTATACTCAGTTACACTTTATTACAAGAAAGGACAGATTAAAATCGGCAGAGAGAAGCAGAGTGAAGTCCAGAAGCATTTCAAACTCATAGTTATTGATGTCCCCAAAGGTGGATGCATTACTCACCCAGCAATAGCCTGTGACAATGTGACCAGACTACTGCCAACCAGAGAAGCCTACCCAGACGTCAATGTCCAAAGTTTTTAATGAGGTTCTATGACATAGGTATGACTGACTGATTTCTTTAGGGTTTGAAGGGTGGACTCCAAGCCCCCACCCTAAATCACCTGGCTGGTTTTTCTGGCATACTTATGATGTCAGTGGTGGCCAGCCCTACCCTAAAATCCATGGTGACTGGTTCCTGCCAAACACAAAGTCACTCTGTGAAGTAAGACAGATTACTTCCCGGAAGCTGATGCAAAGGGCATATCTCTCTTTGGGCAGGACCTTCTTAAAAAAGAAAAAGAACAAAAGAATTTTATTTATTAATGCATGCAAGAACTGAGGTCCAGCCCAGAGGTGCAATGGGGTAAGAGAATGCACCAGAGACAAGAGTGGGGAGCAGAATAGACAGATCTACTGAATATGCTGCTGAGGGGAGCAGCAGGCAAGACAGGAGAGGTCTGCTGTGCCATGTGGGTTAGCTCCCTGGCCAGGATCTAACTCATAGTGGCGACAGCTTGACAGCACTGCACCACCAGGGAGGCCCAGGACCAACTTCTTTATTACACACAGCTACCCCTCTGTTTGCATTTGCACGTATTACTACTACACCATGAAAGACCCACCTCCCTAATAAATAAAGCACCAAACTGCAGCCAGACAACTGGGTTCTGGGCCTAACTTTCCAAGCAACCAAAATCATTACTCAAAAGCAACCAAGTGCAAATGAATAAGAAAGGAAATGCAGCAGGTGGCAAGACAGTATATGTACAGGTATGAATCTAAAGTTATTACAGTAGAACCAAAAATGAACAATTTAGAATCAGGAGAAATAAGAGATTTTCTAAATGAGTCCAACTGTCCCAGTGCACAAGAAAACTTTTGAATCATCATTGCCTTTGCACATTACTATGAAAAGAATAATTTTAACTCTCATGTAAAATAATAGCTTTTTAATAACATTTTCAATTTTATGTTATGTTAGATAATGAGCACAAATGTATCATAAAATTAATAAAGGAAGCAGATTTTTTTACATAATTCATGTCAAATTAAATAGCCTCTTCACCGATTCTTTGTACTGAGAAAGGGTATTTTCATTTTCCCCCTCGTTCTTCAGACTAACAACAGACTTCTTGTAGTCCTCAACTTCTTTAGTGCCCAGGAGCTCTTCTTTACCTACTTTCAGATGTTTCTCAGCAGCTCTAATTTGAAGAAGAGTTTCCAGGACATTTTTTTCTGAGGAGCTGTTGTCCCATATATATTCTTCCATGTCAGCTTCAGTCTTATTTTGCTCCCATTCTTCCACTTTCTGAAAGCAAAAAGTGAATTTTGATTTTTGAGAAATGTTATCCAAAGATATTCTGTTTTACTGTTTGGGGGGAAGCAGCCCTGGTCCATACTCTCCACTACCACTCAGCAACCCCCCACAGAATTCACCCTTTGTCTGCCTTGCAGACTTTGCTTATCAAGCAATACTATTTCCCATAAGATAGAAAATACTCATTTTTTGCAGCTTTGCAATCACTAAACTCTAACACATCAACATTTCACATTTCCTAGCTCAAATATATTATGAGAGTTGAGAGAAGACTATTTATCTTTGTAACATGCCTGTGGGGATAATAGGGAAGGCCAATTACAATAAAATTTAAAATATAACGTACATGTGTAAGACATGACTTTTAGTCATAATGACTTCATATATCCTGGAATTCAGTTTTGTAATTATCTTTATTTTCTGTCCCTATAATGGAATCAATTTTTGTTACTGCTTGTTTTTTTATAAAAAATTGTAACATTATTCTAGAACATTAATAGGTTTTATGGCAATATAATTCAGATTTATGATTTAAATAAAGATGTAATATTCTGTGAAAAGACTGAGCTGTGTAGTTAGTAAATAACATGCCCTGGTTCAAAGTGCTGAATACCAGTTACATTCTTTCCAAATTAACACATAACAATTTTCTAAGCTATGGGCTATTACAGAATCATCCACTCTTCTTACAGTGTTTAAAGGTGGTAAGCACAATTATAACACTTTTAAAGTATTAAAAGAGAGATGGATTTGTAAGGCTGTTAAAAATTATATTTTATCTCTGAAAAACTCCTCTTGAAACAGATCCCAGCTTGAGCAGACTCGCCAAGGCTCCTCAGAGCCAGTGAGCACCAAAAGGAGGCCAACAGCTTCCACCTGGGCCCTCCCCCAGAACCCATGGAAAAAGGAAATCTCTGGCAATCTGAAATCTACCACTCAAAAAAAGTGAGAAGGAGCCCCAACCACAAATGGCAGCTGGGGATGACACTGACTCAGCTGACCCCTCAGATCACTGGGTTCCCCCACCACAGAGACCGCAAAAAAGAAGTGCTCCTTTATCCTTTCCAACCACAATACAGGATGTGGGGTGTTTGTTCCCCTACCCCCAAATTCCTCAGTCCAGGTGGATGTCTATGCTCACAGTTCCCTACACCATTATCCCACATCCCTAAACTGACTTTATGGTGAGAACAGTGCCCCAACTTATGTGCTAGAAATACCTTCACTGACTGAAAATCAACTCAATGCCCCATTTTCATCTGCTAAAAGGGGGAGATAATAGGAAACAAGCCCTCCACACCCCTGTTCCAAATAACTTCTGAAAGCCAAGTTCTAAATTTGTACATTAGAAAACTAACGGATAAAATTACCTTACCCCATGTAATTGTTACTGTAATATTTGGGGAAAAATAATTATCAGCCCTTTAAGAATACAAATGCCCTAATTCAATTACATCATTGTAATTCAATTACTACAGGAAATGCTTTCAAAGTTTCAAGACAGTGTCAGTTTCTTCATAATTCTAACTTATAAGTGTCATATATTTAAAAAAATACATTTTATAAAGCATAAGCAAAGCAATCATTCTGTCTTATTCCTGACTGCTGAAAGACAAACAATTAAAAGACATAATTGCTGAAAAAAATTGAAATGGTCAATTAGACAGAGAAGGTAACCAAAGTAAACGAACTGATCATTTCCGACATCTCCTTTACTGCCCTTGCACCTGGTACACACCTGCCCATGGTGGGTCACAGGTGTGCCGTGATCCTGGCTCTCTCCGCCCTTAGGGGCCGGGTAAGCCCAGGCAGCAAGAGCAGCTGCAGGCACCTTCCTCTTAACTCATCTCAGTAGAGAATTTTCCAGGTGTGCAATCACATAAAAAGGGCAGCATATGCTGCTGCTATCCTAACTGTCATGAGGGAGGCAGGGCGGAACAACTTCCTGTGTCAAAGGCATGGCTTCCTACCAACCTGCACAAGCAAGGGGCAGGGCCAGACTTCAGCTGCAGGCACAGTAAAATCCACCAGTTTCACACATTCCAGCTTTAGGACTCAAACTCTGCATGGCTACAAAGAAACTTCAAGCTAGCAGCAGTTACAATTCCAGTGAATGGCATGAGTATGTACAGAACACATACTTCAATGTGTACAGCATGTGTCAATTAGTTCCTATCCTTATTGAAACCAACTACTGGGTTAGATCTTAATATCTCTATACATAAGAAAAATAACTATGAGCATTAAACAGAGGGCCACAGTCTCCTAGGGAAGTTGGCGATCTCAGAATTGTGTGTATGTTTTATGTATTAAGGAAGTTAATGCGTGTAAATACCATGTATTTTGGAACACCTCCAGGGGTGAATACATTTCTTCAGCCATGGGTATAAATATTCACACTAAATGGGATAGAAAGGCTATAAACAGCTTTTCATCTATTAGTTCATTCTGCTACAGATAAGTTATGAAAAGATTAGCAACTTCCAAAGCTTTCTGGGTCTAAAAATAACAGGTAAATAATATTTGTGATTGGCTCAAGATCACAGAGGACGGTGACATAGTAATTAACCTGAGCTTTGGTATTTTATGAAACAGAGTCTAACTCCAGAACTTACTGCTAGGCAAGAGTGCATCTGAAACCCAAGGCCACAGGACTCTGCTGAGGGTTAAACGAGGTAGGGCAGGCAAGCCAGGGACTCGGGGCACTCAATGCACAGTCCACACTGAAAGTAGTGTGTGTTCTCATTAACACGAATTTGTGAGAACAAGGTGAACAAGAGTGGGTTGCAGACCCTCTTCTCTATTGCAGTCTATGTTCCTATGTCAAGGACACCACTGACCACACTCAAGCAGTAAACTCAAAGTTGAAAGGTAAATATAAACACACATGTAGTGTTCAGATGTTTTACCTTGCTGTTTCACTCAATCATAAGGGTGATATTTACAAAGTTTAGATAAAGTAATACACAGACAGAAGGTCTTTCCTTATTACTGATCTATTATTTAAGATGCTTGCTACTTCTTGACAAGTGCATTACTGATTAGCTTTAATTTTCTCAGTTAAAAGTCACTAAGTTATCTCCAGTTTCTACAGTCTCCTTTGGGTGCAGCCTTTCTATGTTTAATCAAATATACATTAGAAAATACACACACACACACACACACACACGCACACACTTTTAAGGGATAAAGAGAGAAAATCCTTGAGAGGAAAACATACCAGAAAGTTATTATTTTAATTTTACATTATATTTCCACTTTCAAACAGGATGTATTAGATCGTGGCATGGCTCTAGCTACAACTGGAAAAAGGCAAGTAAGTGACATCACCCTCCCCTCAATCTTTAAAGACATCAGAGGGGCCTCCGTGGTGGCACAAAGGGTTCAGATGCAGCACTGTGAAGCTCTCCTCAGCCACTGCAGCACAAATTCGATCCCCAGCCAGGGAGGTGACCCACATGGTTCAGCAGACCTCTCTTGTTGAGCTTGCTGCTCAGTACACAGTATATCTGGCTGTTCTGCTCCCCACTCTGCCTCTGGTGAATCCTCTCACCCCCCACATTTCTGGCCTGCACCCCAGCTCTTGCATGCATAAATAAATAAATCTTAAAAAAAAAAAAAAAAGACATCAGAGAGCTACAGAATCAGTAAGAACTGGATGAATAAAAATTCTAGGCTGGAAGGAGATGAAGAGTGTTCTTCTGAAAATACCTGGGCAATTTCCAGTTCACTGAATGCAGAGCCCCTGCAGAGAGACTCTGATGGAAAAGTAAGAGACAAGACTGTTTGAGCTGTTACACAAGGCTGGTGGGACAGAGTGAAGAGGAGAATCCAAAACTTGGGACAGGGTTTAGTTCTGGGACTGCTGATGGGAATCTGAGGAGCCACTAAGGCAGAGGAAAACCTCCACAATCACATAATGTTTAGGAAACAAAGTCCAGCTAGAATGAGAAAGCCTGCTTCCCCACACAAGCAACCTCAACTGTGAGACTGCCACGAAGGCTTACGCTGAGTTCACTGTCAGATGTGGAGGCCGACTCACCAAATTCCCAGGCAGCAGCCTGGAATAGCTAGGCCTAGGGAAAAGGGACAAACTAGACATGAACCAAAGCTTACAAAACTGGTACAGTTAAATCCCCACTAGATTAAAAACACCAGGCCCCAACCGATTCTGGCTCAGAGACTAAAGTGGAAACTCATTCTGATAGATGACATCAACTGAAGCTTCTATGGTCTTTTATACACAAGGTCTGACACATAGTAAACAATTACTAGACAACCGCAAGATCTGAAGAGAAAAATGTAGATAATAATCAAAGGGAAACAAACAAGAAAAGGAGAATTCCATATGATCCAGAGAAAACTTTTAAATGATGAAAATTTAATGTTTAAGAAGACAGAGAAAAAGACAGGAAATATGGATTAAACAAGTGTTTCAACATAGACTTGGTATCTATAAAGAATGAACAATCAAATCAAAGAGTGGAAATGGAAAACCACAGTACCTAAAATTAATAAATCATTGGATGGATGTAAAAGCAATTTGGATATGACATTAAGGAATGAAGATAGAGCAGGAGAAAGCTACTTTATCACATACGCATACCAGATCTGTACTACAGGATTGCAACTATGAGATTCCGAAATCTTTTTTGTACTACTTACATGAACTTCCTGTAAAGTTCCTGGCTTTAGTTCCAGTGAGTCTAAAGCGCCAATGAGTCTAAACCTAGAGGACAACACTTTACATGCACATAGAGTCTAAATGCTATGAACCCACAATTTATGTGCAAGTGAAATCTCCAAAATGATGGCATTTGGGAGGTGACTAAGTAAGAGGACAGAGCCCTTGTGAAAAGAATTAGTGATCTTATAAAAGAGAGCCCAGAGAAAGCCCTTGCCCCTTCAACCACAAGAGGACACAGCCTGAGGTTCATTTATGAACCAGAAGTGCCTCCCTAGACATTGAATCTGCCCAAGTCTTCACCTTG